TTCCTTCGTCTTTAAATGCCTTTGCGACATCGTTATTCTAGATGATTTTAAAACTGCTCTGGACCGGTTGCGTGATTACTTGCTCATAAAAAATGGCACCGTGGAACAGCTCGTGTACCCTCACCAGAGGCTAACCCCGCGAACGGAGTCTCCACGAGGAAGATATCGTTCGGCCCGCAGTCCTAGCGCCATTAGGCAACCCGAGGCAGTAGCTGGAGGAGAACGCAGGCTGAGTTATTCTTCACAACATGTTAGGAAATGTAGTTGTTCGGAGTCTGGCAACGAGGCACATTTCTTAGAGGTCGTTTAATGGAGTTCTGGTCGATGAAATAAATGTTTCTTCTTTATTTTCAGGTTTTAACATCTAGTTATATATACTCTCTAGAATCAATTTTATTTTCTTTTGATTTGTATTGTTAATTATGATAGCATGCAATATTTCAAATTTTATTTTCCTGTTGTGTATTGGCAGCACAGACCTTCTCTTGTGTAACTAGGGATTCTAACTAGGATGCCCCTGGAAGTGTGATGATGAATGATGAAAATTGACTTTAACAAGTTTAACCAACAGTTTTGCTAGTTACAACAAATCTGCAAATTCTACGGATCACAATAAACCAAGATAAAAGTCTCCATCAGGATGAAATAACATTTTCAGGTCAATTCTTCTCACTGGATGATTCTGTGCAGTGCATAACTACATATGTTAAGTCTCGCCCAAAACAGATTTGTAGTATTGCTGGCCTTATAATATTCATCAAAAACCACGATCAAGTTAGCATCTTCAAATCCAAGCATAGATTAATAAATATCAAATTTGTTAAGTGTACTCTGTGCCCCATGGCCCAATGGCACTATTGCCCATTTCGCAGGGTGTCTATCCTGGAGATCTTCTCCTCCCCTACATTTCATTAGTTTGAAACATTAGATTAAATAGCCAGCGAATTTGCTAACAATAAAGTAGAAGCAACATAAACGGGTATCTCAGCCGTACTCAGCACATAAATATCCGAATATCCCTGTGCCAATTTAAAGGAAAAGGGAACCTCTTAGGGAAAGGTTGCACTATATACAAACGGTCTGACACCAGAAAAAAAAGTTTGTCCTGTCGCAGCCTTACTTAGAGCCAATGCGTGTATTTTGTCTCTTCTACTCTGTATCTGCATGCTGTTGTTGTTTGTTTTAGGTACAACTGATCCTTCAAAATTTCCCATCGAACTGTCCTGGTCATCTACACTCTGTCGATCCGCTGTGACTAGTTCCCAACTATCATCCTTCATGTGGGTCCTCATGTGCCTGACGAGGCGATAAAGAACCTTGACGTGGTCGGTGATTCCAACCCCAAAAAGTCCCCCGTTTGCCCGCAAAGTATAGGGCACAAATGTGACTGGGATCCAAATGGCCTCGATAGTGACGTGAGAGCTCCGCCAAGTCTCTCTCTTCCATCAAATGTTGGCGTGGTGATATGCCTTGCAGTCGAACGCTGCATCGTACGAATTATGTCCCTAACCCAGGTGTCGACGTTGAAGAGTCCCTCTGGAGGACCGGTCCGTTAGCTAACTGCTGCTCGACGGATCGGGAAGAACGGATAGAAAGAATGGATTGTTCCGATGCCCTCGGAATCTATTGCGGCTTCCGATGCCACTTCTAGAACCTCCATCATTGATCTCCTTGCCGCAATGGAGAGGTCAGATGGAAGCGTCTCTTGGCTTCCGAATGATTTTTGGAACATACCACGCTCTGGGAGCTTCCACATTGCCGCCCGGAGCCACTGTTGAGTGACAAGAATGTCAATTTGCTGGGTCTCTAATACTCCTTCCAGGGACATAGGGGAACTCAAGTCGCGAAAAATTAGATTTGCTAGTGCTTGTCCGGAAGCCTCATCTACCTGGCCTGAAACAATCCAGTCGTAAAGATCTGGAGAAAGTTTCTCGAAGAGGTTAATTAAGTTCAGAAACCCGTACGCAAGGATAGGGTCGTCCTCATTGAAGACTTCTGGTTTTCTTATAGAATTCCTCAACATAACAGGTTTGGTTTGCTGAAGTGCATACGCCCTGTCAAACTGAGATGTTAACAGGGAGAGATTTCCAAGGGTAGACATTATTAATGTTTAATTAAATACCTTTCAGTGACAAAAAGCAGCCAGAATACCCTTCGTCTCTCCTCAGCTTCACCGGCGTCAAAATTGGAGTACGACGACTCTTGGTGAAGCCTCAATGTGTGGGCCATGAAGACCGCCTGGCAAAGATAGTACCATGCGTGGTGGTGTCTTTCCAGATTTCCGTACGAGATGAAGAGATAAAATGATGTGAGAAGATTGTCGATGCTTGGAGAGTCGATCAGGTCGTAATCCAGCCTTGCTCTTAGGGCTTCTGATAACAAGTCCTCTCCCGATATTAACGTTCCGTCGTCTATGGGGGTTGGATCCTTGTCCGACCCATCACGCTGTGCAGGCCCATCCAGCTTCAGTTGGATATGAGTTGCTGCGCAAAGGGCTGCAAGAAATGCATATCGCTGTGGAGGTAGACGTGCCGGTTCGCTGCTGTCCGCCAGTATTTGATCTGGTTTGAAGACAGGCATAATAGGGAATAAGTACTTTAGATACACATTCAAATGCGCGAGAATAACCAAAGAAGACAGGCGGGAAGAGACCGGTTGAGGGTCTGGTGGATATTCCCAAGAGGAACTATCAGAAGAGATGATGGGTCCGGGCAAGAGAAATGGCGGAGCAGGAAGAGGTGGAAGACTTCTATCAAAATCTCCAGAGAAGGTGGAGTGAGGGGGCGTTGGAAACGATGGCGAACAGGGAGATTCATTGCCAGGAGAACCGAGAGAAGAGCGGGGATAGAAAGTGCGAAATTTTGGGCCTTTTCGCTGTAAGACGTCCGTGTATGCGCAGCAGAGAAGAGCACTCCGGCATCTATCGCATGGATAGAGACGGTTGCATTTGAGTTTGCGGCGACGACAATTATCACAGACCTGTTTCATGGTGGTTTTTACCTTTGGCGTGTCCATTATGGCTCCGTTCGCAAAAACCTGGAGAAGAAAACGTGGTGATGCTCGAGCTTGCTCAAAAACGTGGTAGCTGGTGGAAGTTATAAGTCGCTGATCTGGACCCGACAGCACAAACTTCTGGAAAGATTCCCTCAGATAACGGTAGTAGTTAGGTAGGAAGACACCGGCTGTAACTCAACATCTCAATTACGGATTGTCATCAAACGGGTTCTTCCTTTTCCTAACATGCCAGCCGGCGAAGAATCCCATTGCAACCTATAGGGGAAACCCCCCACCAGGGCAATGATGGCCGATAGTCCACCGCTAACCAACTAACTATCATCACCAGCGCGCCATCTGTGCTGATCTAGCGTGAGATATGGAAATATTCCAGAAGCCTGTAATGGCCAGAATCTGAATCTCGAGGCAAGGATTCCTGGCAACCGCAGTTGCTATTTGTGGTGATGTTGGCAAGTGATGTGCATCCAACTGCATCATTTAGTTTAAAACAAGATGGCCGTTGAGGTTCATGCAAGAAACATCACCATCTAGAAACGTTTCCCGCCCACCCTGAAGCTGGAACACTATATGGTTGCCGCGCAATGAACGCCCGCTAGGATCTTCATCTTGGCAGTGCAGCCAAGGTGGGAAATTGGTCTCTGAGGCTCCAGGCTCAGGCATTTGAACATTGCGAAGATGTTGGCAGAACACCCCGTGCCCTCTATATTCATTTTCTCCCCCTCTTTTGGTCCATTGATGGTTTTCACGACGATGATGGTTGAATTTGCATTCAGTGGAGTGACGATAAGCCAATGAAGTTATTGGCAGACCAGTTTTTAGAGACGCACATTTGCGTTCTCTGGAATTCATAATGCAAAGACTCTGCTGCCCAACCGTTAGTTTTGTCAAAATAATTAGTGGCCGTTGAATTCCGGCATGCTGAATTCTTACGTCCAATACCTTCATTTAAAACACCGTGAAAGCCAGGAACCGGGCTTTCCCAAATACCTCATAGATATCGAAAATAAAGAATGAGGGGGCGCAAATTAATTCGTCTTCATTTGCTGTCACACCGCCCAGGCCTCCCGATGGATACTGCTTATAGTTCGGGCATTGCTTTCCCTGGAGCTACGAATTTCGGCGGGGTTCTCACAAACCTAAACAGTGGAGCTGGACTTGAAACTGTACCACATGAGGACCATAAACAGCGGACCAGCTCCATGCTAACTGAATAGCAGCATTCTATACGTTTTGTCAATTGGTCTGTCGGCTAAAGCAAAATCTGTAATCCAAGTACATCGCCACAGAAAGGAAATGAAGCACAATCCCCTGAATGCAGGCTCATTATTGCCTGTTTAGTGCCGTGAATCGACGCTCTGCCGATCATGAAAACGCAAAATCCTCTGTATTAGTGAGGTTTACCATTGATGGAAGATAGGATGGGTGTGGGAGGGGCGCTGTGTTGAGCCACAGAGGTGCAAAGATGATCAGGCTCAAGTTCATGACAATGAACCAAGTCAATGATGAGCAATGCTTTACCATAGCTTAGTGCATAGCCGCGCCTGTATCTACACCCCAACAGCTGATCGAGTTGCCATATGCATGGCTATACAGATAGTAAAAACGATGTCGAATGAAGGCGCTCCGACCCCATTCACACAATTAGGGGCATTCACAAGTTTAGATGCGTCAAGAGAAACATAGGCTGTTTCCCAAATACCAGCGCATCCTGCCCGTCTCTATTACATAGGCCTGGAGGTTGGGATGACTCAGTGCCTTTTGCGACCACTGCGGTTCTGTTTATCAAGTCGTCTTGCAGCACATAGACCTCTGTCAGTGCTCCTGCATTGTGCTGCTGAAAACAACCCTGCAGTGACATGTTGTGGAGTGAATCTGTGTGTGGCAGCACACAATCATGTCTGCACACTTGTATCTTGGTGATATATGTTTTTATTCATCTGTGGATTTTGCAGCTCATTCCACCTGGCCACAGGCAATTTGTCGCCATGTCCATCGCCCGGATTCTTGATAATATCCTCAGTGGCATGCCAAGCTTTGCTCCCCACGTCTCCGGTCCGTTGGGATTGATTGCGTTTAACCTCCGCATCTGCCTGACGATGACAGATGGTGAGCAGCAAGATTGGAAGTACGATGAGAAGGAGTATTAGTTGAAGGGGGGAAAAAAAATAAATAATAATAATAATAAAAATAACGTGGGAATAAAATCTCAAAAAAAAAAATTAAAAAAAAAATTAAAAAATAAAAATAAATAATAATGGAATTCTCCCCGACAGGGAATCGAACCCTGGTCTCCCGCGCTTGAACTTTAATGACAAGCGGAAATCATGACCACTAGACCATCGAGGATGTTCTTGATGGAAAGTTTCCATCAACAGCAACTTAGATAAATCAGTCGCTAATCAATGCCAAGTCCGCTTCTTTATCATGTTCGAATATCCAATCCAAACCCAGACACAAACTCCCCTCCTCTCATATATTCAAAGATTTCAATCACTTGGAGACACGATGATATCTCGTAGCGTTCGATATGTATATACGCTTTCTCACTCCGGCGCAATCTCCGTCTATCGACCGCGACCACGTTACTTCAGCATGGCGAACGTGAGCAAGACCTCTACCGTTCAGCCCAAATACGCTTCCTCAACGCCTGAGGAGCTCAGCCAATTGGCAGTAGATACCAAGACATTACTGGACAGTAATTGGACTCTCGATGGAGAGAAGATGGGTGTTACAAAAACCTTCTATTTTAAAACGTACACAAAGTGCCAGGTTAGTTACATTTGCACAACCACCCTCTGTCCATGCGGACTGGATATTCTCTGAATAATTTGGCTTCCAATCTCTTTTTCATTTCTTAAGCAAGCATTAATTTCGTGTGTAGGACTTCTTCAATTTGGTCGCGATAAAGAGCAAATCGGAAAACCACCACTCAACAATGACAGTTGTGAGTGCTGTCAGCCCTTTTTGCAAGCTCTCCGTCCAACGTCGTTGTCCCTTTAAAACGTCAGAGACTGACGGAATACGGCCCCCCCCCCCCCCCCCCCCCCCCCCCCCCCCGGCTAATATCTAGAAATTCCGCTCTGTTGACATACACTGGACAACTCATAATCCACCGGGTTTATCCTCAAAAGACACGTTGATGGCAAAATACTGCGATGAACAAGCCAACATACTAGGCGCAGTGGATGCATCCCAAGTTCAAACATGTTCTTCCCCTCCTAGCCCAAAGAGCTAATGGATTCATCAAGCGAAACAAAATGAACTTGCCTTTGATGAATTTTTTGTGCTGAAACTGAATTTCGAAGTGAATATAAAAAACGATGAGACGGGTGAGTGATTAGCAGAGCAGCTGCTGGAGCTGGATCTCCATTTGATGCGCTCAATTTTGGCTGGAAATGGAGTCTAAGTATTATTTTAATATCTTATCTTAGATGCTGCGCCAAATGCTAACCTGATAATCGTCCTTGATTATGTTTGAAGCTCTCTACACTATGCAGAGGAACATGTTCTGTAACGCATGTCTCCAGCAGAGACACCCCTGCGTCCCGCGATATTCTATCATTCTGTCGGGAAAACCTATATTAGCAGACAATATTCACTAATTGAAATGTTATATCAAGAATATTATGAGCCAATATCCCAGAGTAAAAATGGACTCTTCCGGCTCTCCAGTTTTCCACTATACAAAAATAATATGATATATTACAGAATACACAATTCGAACCCGTCCAATCATTTTTAAAATCATCGCGTTCTTCTCCACTTGGCGCCCATAACCGGCGTATCTTCACCTTTCCCGCTCGTTTTCTACATCGCGTTAGACCCCTCTGTCATTAAGCAAGGTGGAAAGATCAAAATAACAATGCTCCGATTTCTACCCGCGAACAATACAACAACAATGTACTGTTCATAACACAATTCAAAGGCATATATCACCCAGACAACTTAAGAGGAGAGAAACCTCGTAAAATGGATAACCCCCTTAACATCCCACCTCTCTGCGGCCCACACGCTCGCTACAAATCCCGCAATCTCCAATCTCAGGCCGCTCATCAAGATGCGCTCAAGGATATGCCTGGCGGAAATACCCGCTCCTCCATCTTCTCCACCCCATTCCCACTCACCATTGCCTCCGGAAAAGATGGAACTGTCACTTCTCTAGTCGGTGACTCCTATACCGACTTCCTTGTGCGAGGAGTACAGTACTAGGCTCCTCGACCACTTCAACGCGCGCATCGCCAACGCCGTATCCGTCGCGATGGCCTGCGGTTCGACCTTTGGCGGTATCAGTGTGCATAAGAGCGCGTTTGCGGCGGGCGTCTGCCAGCGCTTTGGGGAGGCAGGGGTGGAAATGGTGCGGTTTGCGAATTCGGGCACAGAGGCGAACATGGTGGCAATTGCGACTGCTCTGGCGTTCGTTAACGGTCGGGATAGTGGGGATGGGATGAGCCATAGGAAGAATAAAAGCAAGATTCTCGTCTTTAGTAATGCTTATCATGGTGCGACGTTTTACGTTTCCCATTTCTCTTATCACTGATAATGTTGGAGGGAGAGTAGTTACTGGCGGCACGACGGGACCTGCTGCGACGAATCTCCCGCACAATTTTGTCGTTGCGCCGTTTAATAACGTCGAGGAGACGAGTGCCATCGTTTCGGCATTAGACCCTCCGAGAGGCAATGGGTACAGCAGGAGCAGCAAGGGCGGTCTTGCAGCGATCATCTTCGAACCCATGCAAGGCGCTGGCGGCTGTGGGGCCGCCTCGAAGGAATTTGCATGCTGCTTGCGGCAGCTCGCTGACGAGCATTCTTCCTTATTCATCGTGGATGAGGTTATGACGTCCCGACTTGGGCCTGCGGGATAACGCATAGAACTGTTCGGATTTAAACCAGACATTATGACATTGGGAAAATGGGTTGTGGCGGGATGGGGTTTGGGGCGTTCAGGGCTCGGATGGGGATTATGGAGTTGTATTTGCCTGGTGGTTCGGGGCATGGGAAGAAAAAGGACGGGTTGAGTCATGCGGGAACTTTTAATAATCATATCCTAACAATGGTGGCGGGGAGGGAGGCGTTGGGGTTTTACACAACGGAGATGGTTAGGGTGCTTGATGGACTGGGAGAGAGGTTGAGGAAGGGGATTTCGGGGGTCCTTATTGAAACTAGCGTTGTAAATGACAAGTATATGGAGCGGTAGTGGATTGAGCAAGTAAGGAGGGGTTCTTGTAGAGGTTGGCACATTTGATAGCGAGAAAAGGGAGAGGGAGGCTGGGGTGTGTCCGCGGATGTTTGTGAGCGGGTATAGGAGTTTGGTATGTGTGAGGTTTACAAGGGAAAGGAGGTGGAGGTGTGGACGTTGTTGTTTTACCATTGTATGCTGGAGAAGCTTCTATTTCGCTACGAGAGGATACATGGCGCTGACGATGGAAGCGACGGATGCTGATGTTGACAGGTTCGTCCAATGTGTCCGTGGTTTTGTGGAACGATATAAGAGAGCTGTTAATTTCCTAGCTATATTCAGTAGTCTGGTCTGGTGGGACAAAAATAAGTTAACATGATGGAGGTTGATATGGTTTGAATTTAGCAGAGTATGGATACGGTATGATTGTAATTGACCACAATGATACTGAAAACCATTCATAGAAACTGACATTAAAGATCAGCTACATCTCTTCTCTCAGTCTTCAGAATGTATCACTGAACGAAATTCCCCAGCGCTGCGCTCGCGACTGTGCTTGAGCCAATACTCTGCTCCCTTCGGGGGAGAAGTGCTGTGAATGACAAATACAGGAAAAGAAATAGAGAGATTGTATATCGTAAAAGAAAGAAAATATGTTGAAGAACGTAGAGTAAAGGAATATGGTGTTAAATTGAAAATATGCATGGGAATTGAAGATAGAAAACCAGCCTCGAAAAATGGAAGCATCCCGAGAGAAAACGCAACAAAGCGCATCCCATGGGGTGTGTATGAGAGAAAAAATGGAAAACACCAACTCGTTGCAGGACCTATCTATCTCTATCGACAGACATCTATACTCGAGAGTTCATGTCTGAGCGTTAGCATTTTGAATTGTTAGCGCATCCCTTTGCTCTGACAATCATGAAAAATTGGAAAAAGAGATTATCGTCGAAGCTTCATGCAGAGTTATTCGTGATCAAGCCTGGCGCAGGTTCTTCGTTCCAACGGCGATCCATCCACGAGAAGAAGAAATGAAATGAGATAAAAATTGAAACAAATAAAAAATGAAAAAAGCAGCAAAGTCATCAGCATTTGCATGTGCACATCGAAAAAAAAAAAAATAAAAATAAAAAAAAAAATAAAAATAAAAAATAAAAAAAAAAAATAAGTGGTAAGAATCAAGTTAAAAACAAAGCGTTAGGTAGGGAATGGAATGGATACTACATAAAAGGGCTCTACAGTACTCCAATAAAATGATGCGGCATAAAGGAACAGAACGCAATGAACGCTAAACGCCATTGACTGGCACAGCTCAAAACAGTTCTCATATTGATTCTCAATCAATCAAATTCCTCCCCAGCATTGCCAGCATCAGATACTGCGCTGAACGTACGCTGTCTAACATCCACCCTCCGTGTTCCCATGCTGTTAGTTCTGGGCCGTAATTGGAGGAAACCGGTGTTCTTGGTTCCCGAACCAAAAACTTCTGTCCCCTTTTCGTTCAATGAATTTTCGACTGATGAGGTGACAGTATTTAAAGAGGCTGCAGCGTATCTACGGAATCCAGGCTGTATATTCGCGGGAATCGTAGCTGGCAGGTTTGAGCCAGGCGAATCATAATTCCTACGAAGAGGAATAGACATTTGACCCTGAGTGGTTGAACGGGGTTGGCCGGTCTGCTGTTGCTGCAGTGGTAACTGTTGGGACGCCTGCTGTTGATCCGGGAGAGGGTGGTTGGAAGTATACTCACGTGAAAGTCGCCGGTCGCGAGGTGAATAGCGAGATATCACTGTATTGATTTCAGTCATGGCTCTGGAAATCGGACGAAGGGTTTTGTCATCAAGATCGTCTTCGTCTTGAAGTCGTCGGTTCCGAAGAATGGTGGAGGCGCGGTTGAGCCGGCTTGGTGGGGTGGAATGGGTGGGAGTTGAAAGCGGATTTGTATTTTCCTGGGTGTTTCGAATAGAAGTAGTTCCTGTATTCAGGCTAAGCAAGCTTGCACGCCGTGACTCTAAACGGCTACCGGCAGCTAATCGCGTTGAGGGGGCCTGGCCGCGTTGAAATTCCTCAGGTTCATGACTTGCGCTACGGCGATATGCGAGGTTTGGCGTTATCGACTCCCTATCCATCATACTATCTGTCTGGTATTGGCTAGATGCGACGTCTCGACTACCTGGTCTATTATTCGACGAAGAAGCCAGCTGTTCATCCGACAATGCCAAACAGAGCTCTGTTAATCCTCTACACAAACTATCCGCCTTTCGTCTCATCTGCCGATCCGAAATACCCGCCCCGTTAACAACAGACATCCCACTGCCATGTTGCGGACCGTTGGAGCTAAGGATGGTGGCCAGAGTTAGAGCATCGGCGGCAGTTGTTTCAAGAGCACGATATACATCTGCATTGAGTGTGGGTTTGGCTTTCGCTAAAGCAGTGTGAAGTAAAGGGTGAATTTGGTCAGCCACAACAGCGGCGTCTGGTTCTGGAGCTGGAGGTGTCATTTTCCGCCCATGTTTGGGGGAAGAAGAAAGAGTTGTCGCTGTAGTCGTCGCAGTACGGGGTCTTTCACCAGAGACACTAGACATTGCAGCAGCAGAAGAAGGTGGTAGTTTTCCTGTTAGTTCCAATTTACGAATTCTCGACTTCAAATCGTCCAATTCATCCCAGACGGTAGAAGGTGCCGTAGTAGATAATGTAGATTCCGTCCCATCCAATCTTGATTTTTCTGCATCCAGTCTCGACCGCTCAGCAGCTGCATCCACACTGGAGGAGTTCTGCGTAGTTCGCATGGTAGATAGATTTGATTGTCGATATGTCCGCAGTTGACCTTGGACTTGATCCTGGGCAATTGAACCTCGCCTTTCGGAAGTGTAATTCGAAAGGGTTTCGGGTGATGTTTCGCGGGTTGTACGAGTCAATCTACTCCCAGGAAGCCCAATAGATGACCTGGTGCTGACACCAAAATATCGAAGGCGACTGTTCTCATCCATTGGGTGCTGGGTCGAAGTAGGGGATCGAATTGAGGAAGATTCACGTCCTATTGAAGAAGGGTTGTCTTGGGACAGTAAGCATGTAACATGATCAGAGTCGTATCGGGAAGATTGAAGAGAAGGGGGCTCCTCATTGGCTCGACTTGAACGGGAAGGTAGACCAGAGAGTCCAAATTTTGACTGGTGGAATATATAAAAGTTAGACATATGGAAATTTTAAGGGGAATAGTAAGTCGACAGCGGGCGACAGCAGGCGACAGCCGAAAAAAAAAAAAAAAAAAAAAAAAACCGGCTTAAAAGAACAATGCACATGGCACATGGGTACAACAAGTGCGCACAGCAGGGACTATAAAAAGAGAATTCGAAAAAGGATCCATAAATGAAAATCTAAGCCTACCCTTTTCCTCTCGGTCCTCGTTGTCGCACTGCGACGGAGGGAGTTTGACTTGGCAATATTTAAGAAGACATCATCCGTTTTAGACCGACCATCCTCCGCGAAACACTCCTTGCTACTTCCATCCATGTTTCCAGCAGCTGTCATCTGATTACTGCGATCACGACTATTGCTCCCTAAGAAACTTGCGCTCAGGCGCGTCCCAGCGATTGACATCTTGCCCTTTTCCCGCGTTGGAGCTGTACTAGATCCAACAGGTAGAGGTGCAGACTGTTGCGGTTCGGAGGCAGCCACAGAGGGGGGGTTTGATTTCAGGACTGCATTAATGCCAGGGGCGGGGCGAGGAGGTTGGAGGTTCGATTTCGATTTCGATTTCGATTTCCTGGCACCCCCAAAAGATCGTGGTCTATGGAGGTTGATTGAGGTTGAGGTGGATTTGTGTGGGGATGTGGGTTGGCCGAGCGAACGCTGTGTGGAAAGCGCGGGCGGTGGGCCAGACGAGGCTTCGATGCCACAGGAGCTACGAGACGCAGGCGGTCTTTTCTGATGGGGAGATTTGGGCTCAAGACTGGTTTGTAATTTGAGTGAATGAGAGGACGTTGCAGAGGATGAGGCGGTTGGAGGGGTGCTGGAAGCGAGGTTGGTGGTGTTGGTGGTGTTGGTGGTGGTGTCGGTGGAGGAGAAAGTGTATAATTTGTCCAAGTCAACGGTAGTCTGGGTCCGGGGTGTCTGCACCAGAAAAGTAGGGATGCTGGTTCGGGTGGGCTGTGGAGGAGGCTTTAGAGCATTTATCTTACGTGGAGCAAAGGCAGCGAGGGTAGGATCTGAGAGATTGGCGGGGTTGCTGGGACAGGAATTGCTGCTGGTGAAGACGGGCAGATTGGACGTGGATTTGGGAATTAACAGACGACGGGTAACAGGATCTGAACGACGACGGTCGGCATGCGGCACCTCGGCGGGCTGGCTGGTTAAGGGATCAGTCTCTCTGCGAGAGCGTAGCCATCGTCTGTCATTTTTGGTGTTATTCGACTTCGGCTCCGTCACTGTAAGAGTCGAGGTGGAATGGGAGTTGGAGTTGTTGGAAGTCACAGCAAGGGGCATTGCGTGGGTCTGACGGAAGAACTTGGCTGGGTTAAGAGGACGTCAGAGCATGTTGTGAAGAGAACGAACATCCACAACAAGAGAAGACCAGACGATCGTAAATAGTAAGCAAAAGACGGTATAGGCAAACAGAGTAAAAAATACGTTAGTAAATAAGTAAATAGTAGATATTAGAGAATACTATTTACTCCGTATACAAGGGGGGGGGAGGAATTGTAAGGAAAACTCGCAAGAGATCTATCTACTCTTCTGCCAACAACCAGCATGAAAATGGAAAATGCCGCGATGAAACTGTTTATCTCGGAAAATTTGGGGTCAGAAACAAGGGATGTAGAACAGTTATGACCTAGTCCCACTCCAGAAATAACCTGCTGAAGTCTCTTCTGCACTACTCTCAACGACGGGGCCATTTGCCCACGGGCGGTTATCTAACACCATGTTTGTGGCGCCCGGTTGGTCTCATTCTCAACATCGTTGATGTTTCTCTGATGTTAAGGATGGGGTTTCAGGGGGCCTCTTAAGACGTAAAATTCTCCTGCAAATCGTTGAGAGCTGCACAGTATCGTGCAACGGCCTAGCTACCTATCCCCATATCCCAATTCCTCCTCCGAATACTGCGTATAGATAACTCTCCCTCGACTCTGGCCCCCTGAGAAACCCCGGTTTCCTATCCTCAGACCCCAAAGGCTAAAAATACCCTAAATAACCACCTAAGCGCTAGCTGATCTGGAACGATTTGCAACAATAGCAGAACATGAAATCCCAGCCCCTCCATTCTACCTTTCTTCTAGTTCCCGGCTTGTTCGTTGTTTTTAGCTGAAACGTCGGTACAGGATCCCAACCATCAACTGTTCGTTCCCATAAACAAACTCCGAAGAAAATAGCAGAAGCATTCTTCTTAGGGCAATAATTTCGGTTGGGTTCAAACCAAGGTGTTCGACGATTTTCGACGATTCGATGCAACCACCTCCCTCATCGATTTGGCAATGGCCCATTGGTGGCTGGGACAGCAATCCCATTATCTCATCCGCATGAACAGCACGCCACTTTTGCTTTTTCTTTCTTGCTTGCTTTTTTCCTGCTTGCTTCTTTGCAACGCCAGGGAAGTATAATGTGCTAACTTGAGATGGAGGTAAACCTTTTTTTTTTTTTTTTTTCTTATAGTTCGATTATACGGAGTGAATTGCAAACTGGTTCTGTGCAAGGAGCATGCATTGAAAGAGATTCCTTGGTTTTCGGTTCCGTGACTGGTTTCAGGAAAAGTAAGATTGGCTTCCCCTCTCTTGTCGAGAGGTTTCTTCTGAGATAAGCCGAAAGTGAGTGTGTAGGACTTTTCCGTGCGACAGTCGCTCTGTAGCAAAGCCTTTTTTTTTTTTTTTTTTTTTTTTGTGCTGATCTCTTGTCTTGTCGGAAGTGCTGCTTTGGCTCAAGCTACAGGAGTATTTCGGCAAACCCTCTAAGCGGCTCTAGAAACAGTGGCTTCATCTTGTTCGTCCCCTTTTTTTAATTCCTAATACATTTTCGATCTCTCTAAAGAGATGTGGACGACAAGGTTATCTTGTTGGCTGCCATGAATTAATTGACACTTGTTTTGGTCTGATATTTTAGAGAGAGTGTGGAGGGGTAAGGTTGTGAGAGTTCAATTGATGTCAGACGGCTTTCTACAGGCCGGTTGAAAATGCAGTGCTACAGAGTGGATACATGTTGGAGAGTACTCAACGAGAGTCAACATGCTTGAAAAATCATCGCATCATCCAACCAAATCCGCACATAGGAAAATGAACCAATTATCCCATATTTCCATTCATCACGACTTCATGTCAATTCTTTGAACTCCTGCCCACCTCTATCGCCTCCTCAGTTGTCAAGTTGGCAACATCCATCACAACAAACGTTTCAGTCTAACCAAAATGTGGCCCGAGTGGAGTTTGTCCCTCAGTAAGCAAGCAAACAGCTAGCAAAGCATCATAAGAATGACGAACCGCGAACCGTCACGTCATGACTTTTAAGCCATTGTCAATCATTCTGAATAGAGCTCTGTCAATTGATAGAACCCACGTGTCTTTGCAGAAAAGCGTTGACGAATTGAATCTCCCGCAAGATATCATGCGCTAGAATTAAGAGAAATGCATATCATCATCAGCTCCGAGACCCACCATCTCTGATCTGCTGGGTCTATCTTCTCCCTCTCATGACAGACCTTGGAATTTGGGATACTTACCAAGACTGGGGAATATTCTTCGCAAACTTGGGGCTTGGTTTTCCCTTCCAGTTCTAATCTTAATGAAACGGCGCACGGGGTTCGAACGTCCATAGAGAGCTTTATCCCCATCCCCATGTTCAACCGAAGAGTAATGAGAATGGTGTCCAGCTATTTCCCGCAACTATCACGCTAACAGATGTCCCACTTGATGGATTTATGATATATATGTGTATATTAATTCCGTCTATCTCTCCCAGAAGAGATAGAATTTAAAGTGCTATGAGCAGGGCCAGTCGACATACGCATATCGAACTTTCCTCTATGACAGTTGATCGATTAATTTGATATGCAATGAACAATTCTTCCAGTTGAATAAATATCCAAACCATGTAGTTAATAAACTACTCGGTAAAAAATTTAACCAGCGAATTCTTGATAGGAATCGAATATTCATGCCGCCGCTTACTCACTCCCTTCTAGTTGGTGCGCCACAACGGAATGATAAATACAATGTAGAATCCCAAGCCACCTTTTTCATTAATTAATTATTAACAATTATGATGTCACAAAAGGATGATAACATTGAAAAAGGAATCGAAAATGTTATCATCACTTCTAACAGTGGTAAGAAGTTATTATTATTATTTCTCTTTCTCTTTCTCTTCTCTTCTCTTCTCTTGTAGTTAATTGAAGCCCGATTTGAGCGAACGTTTTACACTTCTAGTAAAACTAATAGTATCATCATCTAAATTTCTGTGCAAAATCATTATGATCGATTGACTTATTCAAAGACTGTCCCAGGAATTCAAACTGACTGGCAGCTATGCAGCGTTCGTCTATGTTAAGACCTTCCGCTCCTATGGGAACTCCTCTGCTCTCTGGTCCGGACGGGAACCCAGGCGATACTGTCCAGGCATCCAATGCAAAAGTTCACTTGAGACATTTTGGAAGTGTTGGCATCTTGTCCTCAAACAAGAAACAGCTTCTGGACTCAGCAAAGATACTATTGTCAAGGTGGAAGATGTGAATGTTTATATTACTCTTTTCAGATAGCTAAACAAGAACCACCACTAATCCCTTGTAGGTTGTTGCACAGGTGGTTAAGAAAAAGAGCTGGCGCTCATTGGATGGCCAAAGAAGATCATTTACATCGAAGATCTTGCTGAGTTGCCTTGTGTCGTTCTCACCACCACTGAGATGACATTTGTTTATGACTGGCAGCGCATTCAATTTCTTTTCTTACAGCTTGCAGCCATCACCGCCAACCACCCCTTGACACTCCTCCACCTTCGGTATCGAGACATTGTCTTAACCCTGATCCGAGATCCGGACGGTGGACGCCCCCGATGTTCATCTTCTTAACACCAAAGTTTTACGAAGACATTCCTCGGAGACAAGGCACTGTATATGTTCTTGATCATCGCGGCGCGGCCTGCTTGACTAACAGAATTGATGGGAACGTGTTTAAAATGCCGGAAATCATCTTTGATCCAACCCTGGTGCTCAGCCCGCATATCTGCCTGCTGTCTATGCTCTTTCGTATTGGAGGTTTCAAGTTGATTTGGACAACTGGACAGGTGTTGGATTCCGCAGAAAATCTCTACAGCGCCAAAGTGCTGGATGGCAAGGGACAGCAGCAGTTGCTACTAAAGGATGAATTACTGGATAAGTTTGTGTTTTGCCAGACGGAACCAAACACCCACCAGATTTAAATTTTGCTTGGAGCAGAGGATGACCGCATCCATGGTAAGGTCCCGGATGCGAGCCGGCGAGATCACAGGCTTTGAGCAGGTCGGCCCCCCCCCACTCCCCCAAACAATCTTCGATATGCTGGACCTAAGGCTTTCAACAACAGTAGTGAGTATTCTCAATCCCTTTGCATCCCTGTTGCGCCAGGCTAACCCATGAACAGAAGAGGTTACGGACGATCTCCAGAACGTCAGCTCCAGCACTTAGATATTCGCTCCTTTGTTAAAAATTATTAGGTAGATGTTAACGTTGATGCGCATGGCATTGTCCAGAAAACAGGCTTATAAACACAGTTAGTGCTATTTGCCTGCTCAATAAGTGCATCAATTGACCCCAAACGACTTATAAACTCTCTCCAGAAGAATCACGGTCCCTCAAATATCGCCCAGTTGTCTTTGACGGGCAGGATACAGTCAAGAAGCGCAAGTGAGAGTTAGAATATCGTGAAGCTGAGTTAGAACGTGTTAACAAGGTATGCAAGACCTCGTTTGGGTAGCTTGATCACGAAACACTTACCGAGCCCAACCCTAAGGTGCTGGAGAAACCTGGAACTTTTTCGCCATCGGACAGCAGAAACAAAGGCAGAGTACAACAGGGCTATCCGTGAGCTGTGTAACGAGAAACAACGGCAGCGGAACCGACGGATCAATGAGAATTTTGAGCGTTACAAGAACGAGCAGCCTGTGATTGTCCTAGAATAACAGCTGGCAGGGAAGCTGGTGGATACCAAAGTCATGAACACTTTTGAGCTTGACACCTGATGTCTGTGTCGGACCCTTGTATCACGAGACTAATATTCCACCGTATAGTCGTTCTCGCAGTTAGCAACCTTTGCAATCGATCAAGCTTGCCATTCTGTCAGTTTGTGGACAGCATGCTGACCAATGCCAGGAGTCAACTTTGAAGCAGAATACCAGCGGCGTATCAACACAATCAACGCGGGAGTTGCATTCTGTGGTGGAGAAAGGCGACCCTCGTCATCCAATCCCGGCCCGGCCCATCCAGTCCCGCAGCCGGCCAGTGTCTGACGACGGTGACTATTCCTCCCCCCAGCCAAGCAGGAGCGGCGCTCGGCAGAGGACGACACCGAGATCCTTTTGCGTCAAGCAACAGAGTCTGTGCGGGTTAAGTCTCCTGACGAATGACCCCAGGTCTACTTTCTCTGCGTCGGGAATTCCAATTGCTCACTGAAAGACCGGGTTGCCCAGTACAAAATCCGGTTCACCTACCCGGCATTTCCTGGACAGTGCAAGCTTTTTCCCAGTCAATAACTGAAAGAATGTTATAGCCCCTATCTACAATAACATTGTTGTGGCGATAACCCTTATGGCAGAGTGGAAAAGGTCCTGTATTTGAGCGGACAATTTTGGTGCGCCACTTCTTTGAGCTGGTAGGGAAATTGCTGGATTGATATAATTATGTCGTCTGAAAGAGAAGGTGACTGATTCCGGATATCACTCTCTTTTCTAGGAAATTGGGCATGATTTGCCCAAGCCTCAAAGTGATCTGATGCTGTTTCAAATGGACCCCCCAAACCTGGAATTGGATCGATGTCATAGGTGCCGTCTTCATGCTTTACAATCATCCCAATTTTGGGAAATCTTATAGAAGCCATTTCCACCTCTCTATCTGTTAGCTCCCGGACTTTTAGCAAGGAGCAGTCAAAGCTATCTGGATGCCCGCAATGGCACGAAAAAACTTCGCGTTTTGGTTAGGAGGAACCCCCCCCCCCCCCCCCCCCCCCCCTCCTCCTTGTGAACGTGCCAGCCACCAAATGCATCCATTGCTGTGTTTCCTGGAAAAAATCCCATAATCATGAAGGCAGCACCAAACAATATTCGCATGGCTCGGCTCATATCCAAACACTTGAGGCACAAGGGATACAAGTTCGTTCGCGAATTAATGCAAGAGTGTGCACCTCATGAAGTAGACGTTTGATTGATTCGGAATTGCATTCATGCAACTGTATGCGTGCAATCCACCTCGTGTTGCCATTAAATTCAAGAAGCCGAACTAGGTGGAGGCCATCCATGTTATATTCAGATAGGAGGTTGCAGGTAATAGAACATGTTGGATCCTCGCTTTGCATGCGCTTTAGCTTAACAGCATACCGTTTGAGAGCATCCCACTTTACTGGAGGAAGGCTGGGTTCTTTGGCGATGCCGGTCTTCCAATTCAAGACAAAAGCGCGATGGCTGGGTAGTCGTGCAGTACAGCCCATCAGAATTTCTTCACAAGAGTTTAATCTAGGTAGAATGTATCCCACAGGATGATCATGTAAGGAAGCTGAATCAGGACCGTCAACAGGTTATGCACAAATGAACTACGTACAAATAAACTCCAAACACGTGACTTCCACACCTCCCGGAGCCATGTGCCCTGCTTGGATAAGGTTCGTTAACTGACTGCTAGTTACCATTTAGTGTGAAGCTCTGGGGCGAAATCCACATGCCTAGTCCTCCTACATTCAACATATCTAATGTGAGATTCTTGACATCTGCGCGTATTCATATCAGGGACCTGTCCCGATGCTTGGTGACTTGTATTTCATATTCTGCAAAAGATCAAGTGTTACTTTGAAGTCATCGTCGGGACAACCCCAACCACGGATAGAGCATTTTTCACCTCGCTTGATATTCACGCCTTTGCATTCGAACGTTCCACAGTTGGCATAAAGACTGGAGGCCATGTCGACAGGCATAAAGGAGTTGATGTTGTAAGGTGCCTAATCTTTAAATTAGTTACATTTCCCCAGTGCAAAAAGGCAATATTTCATTCAGACGCGCAAACCATCGACAATGGTTTTACATCGACACAAGTCATCGTTAGAAGGGTTCCTGGATTTTTCAGAGCCATTCTCCTTAACATTACAACAAAATAAGGCAGCAAGCAACATTCTCATGACGCTGATTGAGGATTATGGCCCAGAACAAATTGGGCGGAGGGGTTACATGCCCGCGATGCTAGTCAACGCAACATTCGAGCATGTGCATACGCAATCAAAAGATGCCTTCCTGAACTTCTTCCTTGTGCATCTCCATGAGCATCTGGATTTGGTAGATGGAAATACTGTTGAGCCTGATATTTCTCTTGTGCTAGCCTATCTCGATGGGTTCTCCTCTTTTGACGCAGACAAGAAAAGCAAAATCCGGAGCGCTGTCGAGCTTTTCGCTGACTACATGGTTGACAATTTCTTTTCTCCACGTAAGTTGGTTATAGGGCATATCATCCATGGCCGGTAGATCTGGTTAACTCAAATTACTCAGTCAGGGTTTCGTTGGTGAAGACACCCCAACCAACACCCCTTTCACTCTCCTCGCTGCGGGCGTCCACGCCAACGTGTATAACGCATCGCGTGTCCATCCTCCGACAGAGTTGTCTTATCCGTGATCAATCATCGTTGTGTCGTGTCCCATCGGTTTGATAGAAAAGAAGCCCAGCGGCGAATAAAGCAAGATGGGATTGAAAGTGAAGACGACGATGGGGCTCTCCTCCGAAACGAACCTGGTGAATTCGAGTATCTAGAAGTTGCTCACATACTTCCTCATTCATTGACCTCAATAGCCTCAGGAAATACGGAATTGGTATGGACATCCTATTATGAGCACACTCGGCCCCTGTTGACATAGATCCTTAGAGTGACTCGAAAAAAATGTGCTCCAAATCCTGGCTATGTTTGAACCTGGAATCGCCCTCCTTGTTGATGGACAAGATATTGACAGTCCTAAAAATGCCCTTACATTAACCCATCACTATCATCGACTGCTCGGTGAATTTGAAATATATTTCGAGCCTATAGAAGGGGCATACAACCGGTACACGATCAGATCGACAGAAAGGAATCCTATTCTTTGTGATCGATTACTTCCCATTTAGTCGTACGCTTAGCCTTAGCCCCAGTTGTTCTATTGACCCACCTTCCTCTCGACTACTTAAAGTTCACCGTGCAATTGCTCTTATTCTCAAACTCAGCGGTGCAGGCGAGTACATTGAGAATATCCTTCGAGATATGGAAGAAGTCGAGGTGAAAGAAGATGGGTCGACAAATTTAGGTCGTCTAATGAGCCTACGATTGAGTGGTTGGTTAAAAACATTGGCTGTCTTCTAAATGCTTGGTCAAGGCGATCTTGCTGGCGAATAAACGTTACTTGCATGACTGCGGCTCTCAAAATTGCCTTCCATTCCAAAGATTCCAAAACTGTTTCCAAAACCTAACACCAAGATACGCTTCGGATGACTAATCCGTAGTTATATGGTAGAAGCGAGTTTCACTCTATTAAAATAAGTTTAATATTTTCTAGAAGCTATTATAGTATTCAATTCTTCAAAAGCAAAGTTGAATACTTTAACTATTATAATATATTTATTTTTATTATGATAATTTTTTGTTTATTTCAAATTAATAATTTTTTGCTTTATTAAAAATTAACTCTAAATTTTATACTGATATTCTGAGTTGTTAAATGACAATTAAAACTCTATACATTGCTTTTAAATAATTTTTTATTTAAGTTTTTCCTGATTATACTGAAATTAAATATTCTTCAGATATTTTTATAAATTTCATTGATAGTAGAGTAGTGCTCTCACAATCATTCATATCATATACTTATTGCAATTATTATTACTGTAGACTATTAACACTGTATTTATGTTACTATAATTATTGTAATCAAACATCATTAAAGAACTTGAGTAATTTAATAATTGAGGATTAATATTAATTCATCACAAGTGACCTTGTTAGAAGAATAAAAATAATATGAAATGTAAGTATAATACAGAGTGAATAAATCCGTTAAAAGCTTAAACAATATATATATATTATCTTTACTTGACCATAAGATATCATCTTAAATCAGTGTAATCAAACATAGAGATATAAAATATTTAACAGTATTGACAAAGACAAGGTCAATTTAAGACCCTTCAGGTTTTGACCAGTTTATATAGATAGAAAAAGAAAAAAAAAAAAACCTAAGCGCTGCTCATCTTGACGCTAAAATGGTGATAAAAACAAGGTTTGTGGGGAAAGATGTGGGTCCTTTTCAACGGCTTTGGTAAATTCCCACTGCAAGATCCACAACGTAGGAAGTTCGTGCAAGGTTCCCCAGAGGTCTCGTTCGGCTGGGCGAACAGTCTAACATAGCGGCGCTGGGGTATCTTGTATGGTACTATTCGCCCTATGTCAGTCGCTTTTCCTTTTCATATCTTATGTCTTTTTTTTTTTTTTTTTTTTTTTTTTTTTTTTTTTTTCCAGTGGGGAGGGGAAAGGATTCACCTATACTGTTGCCCAATTTCATCCCCGGGATGCTGTTGCGCAATTATCATATGAATATGAGGATGTCTCAGTGACCACTTTCGAAACGGCACCGACTGATTGACAACAGATACACCTCGCATTTGCCGGTGTGTGTGGTTGCGGGACGCATGGACATCAGCAAGAAATGATGCTTGTGACGGAGAAGCGGCCATAATTTGCATGGAGTGATATACGTGCTAAGGAACTATAATGGGTCCACCACCCGACTTGACGGGTTTAGAGATGGGTGGTTGGAATGGTGCGGATGACCATGGGGAATAAGAGATCGTGGCCTGGTTTGCTGGGTTGGAACTAGGGCCTATGTAATGTTGGTCTTGGGCTGGGGAAGGCAATACATGGGGATAGTCTATGGCTGTTTGGTCAAGGGTTTTGCAACTAGGTCTATATTATTTTCATAGTATTTCTCCTGCACACCCAGGTGTCCGAGGATCAGCAGAGGCGTGCCGGTCAAAGCGAAGTGGCGGCTGATGAAATCGAATTGGAAGTCCCCATTGATGCGCATACTCTTTGCATACCGTTAGGTGGTGGTGCTCGGATAAAGTACTCAGAGGGGGGGGGGGGGATTTAACGTACGAGACGAAGACATACGATCCACAGACGGCTGTCCCCTCTTCAATCAGTGGTTACCCGAAGTTACTTGAGATGAAGGATATTTGTGCCCAGGACATGCTTTGAAACATGGAGAATATCGATGGGATCGGATGATAGAACTTACTCAAGTATTGATAAATTCGCCCTTCAGGTTTCCAGGAACGTCTACCACTAGTAGAAAATCATCATTGTAAAACGCTGGTAGACGCCCCGACCACCATGTTGTAGCACACATCATGAAAGAGATAGGTGCGAGTTCCCGGGATTAGAAACTGGGGACGTTTCTTCTCAATCACTTTCATCGCACTTTGAAAGCTTCCATACTCCTGTCAATATCTCCAAGTTTGTCCATGTGACGCAAAGAAAAGGATGGATTACACCACAGGTGAAAACTTCATCTTTCTGAGGGATTATAGAATTTATTCCAGGTCAGAACATCTTTCCATCTTTCCACCTCTCCAGCTAGTCCTGGGGTGGTGAGGAGAGGCGTGCAAATACAATGAGAGTCCTCACATGCTCAAGCCAATCCACTATGTCCAGTTCTTGCAGGTCAGTCGCTATATATATCACTACCAGCTCTCTGACCAAGATTTCAGCGTCAAGATAATATCCCTGTCTGAATTGGACTTCGGTGAGGGAAAGAAGTAAGCGCCGAAACCCTTTGAGTTGCTCATGCGACAACATTCTCAGCCGCTCAATTTCTTGTTCCATCATTTCCCTCGCCTGGGAGAGATAAGTTCGGTTCTCCATTTGTACATGGTCCAGCTCACAGTAGAGGTCCAGCCAAAGTTGACTGGACAAGAAAACACTTAGATTGAGACAGTCCTGGAGTCACAAGACAAGTCTCAAAGTATATTGCACCTTCAAATTGCCCCTCTCCCGTGCATGATACAACTAACCAAAGCATCTAATCTCAAAGCAGATGTTCTTGGCTCCCAAGAACATCCGTAATAGGCATCCATTTTCTAACCCCCCCCCCCCAAAACGCGGCTCTCTAAAACTGAAGTTGTATATATGGTTCATCGCCTGAGATAGATACAGCGCCGGAAGGTCCTCACACCGCCCCAAGTTAATAGACCCCTGATTCAACTTTGACAAAAACAGTTTAATGATATGCTTGGAGTCATCAACGTCACCCTTCAGCCACATCAAACTGCTCTGTCGATAAATAATCCTCGCGCATAGCTGCAAAAACTGATGGGCAAAAATCAAGAATTTATTCTCGGCAGATCAGATCACAGAATGTAGTGCCGGATGCCGCTAGCAGAGATTGACAAAGCTGACTCGGTTGGCAGTTGAGACGTTGTGTTGTGTGAAATAGGTTGCCATTACTCTGTAGCAATATCCTTGGATCTGTGGGAATTTCTCTAACAATATTCGAAATGGGACTGGAGAAACTTCCGACTAGGTTGCCGCCAATATTGTTCAGGGAAAACCATTGTTCTTTGCTCTGCCAGTAGGTGCTGTCCCGATGAACCTCATTGCCGGGGGATGTGTCCTCGGGCAAACTGCAACGAGGGACCCGGTTTCGCCCTCTGGCCCTTGAAACCCTATCAGTATATGCTTGAATATGGACGAGGACATGACCTCGATTGCCTAACGAACCTTCAGCTTTCGGTCCTGATTTCAGTCGAGGTATGGGCGGTCTATGTGACCTACCATGACGACAATGTCTGTGTCTATAGGTTTTTTGACAAGACCAGCACCTGTGTACTTGGGAAGTTACGAAGAGTGACATCTCCACAATGGGCCAACGCGAACAGATCTGGCTCGCTGAGATCACAAGAGGCTTGAAGTGAGTAACGCACCGCAGGTCAAGCAAGGTATATAAGAAAATCAGAAAACGGAGCCGCAGCTAGAAGTGGGTTTCTTGTCGTGGGCAGAGAATGATAAATCAAAATAACTCCACCCAAAAATCAAACACTACCTTCATTTCCTGCCAAAATATCTTCCTCATTCTCTTTCACGGTATTATTGGGTTAGAGAAGGCTCAGGACTTAAGATTAGAATTAAAGTCCTAGAAGTACGGCTATTTAGGGATTAGGGCTTGCGGAACATCAAATAGTAGTTATGTTGGGGCGGGCTGCCATACCGACTATCCCTCCTCAAACCCTGGACTTAACACCTTGAACACTTCACCAAAAGCATCTCAACTATGTTAGCAACATGAATTCGCCGTGCTCTTCGGGCAGATTTCAACCAACTGCAAGCGGCCAACCAGCCAAATGGATTTATTCCCCTTTCATTTGATGGCAGTGGAGCAACTTTGACTCCAGGTGGGTTCAAACCTGATCTAGCATACTATGTTGCTGAATCTTTCGGCAGTGGACCCAACAGAGCAACGGGTATGTTTCACCGTTGACAAGTCTCGTCTCGTCGAGGCCCTGCAGGAGATAATCACCTCTTTTTCACTTTGTCGAGGTCCTTGCTCTCTCCTGGGAAATTGGCTGGCACTGGAATACCAGGCACTAAAAATCAGCTTGCCCTATTTCTCAGCTGGTATTCAAAGACAACTGCAAGCTCAAAAGTAGTTCTCATCTCAGGGCCAGGAGCAGAATATAGCCACGGGTACGTTCCTCAAAACCGTAGCCTCATGGTGCGTAGTATACCCACTTTCACTTATCAGCTGTCTGCTACAATGTCAAATGATATGCGTGGAATAACGCAACTGCATGCAAAAGGTTGACTGGTGGAGCATTATCACCACCACTCTGCAAGATTTACCCCAGACAGCTTTCTAAAACCATTCGTTCGTCACACTAGTTGCCATTAATTAGTGCTGTAATCAGTGGGTCTCCAGCGGCTCTTTCATGTACTCTGTTGGATTTAAAAACTTTTATTTCTGTTTGAAGAAAGTTCAAGAGCTTCCATTGTGCATCGGTGAAAATTTTCATTGATTTGAAGAGCCGCTGCTCTCTGCATTCAGCTTTATCAAGGTCAACAAGTAACTATGTGTAAAGAGCAATCAAGATGGAAAGGAATACACACCATCTCTCAGCAGAAACCACAAGGACTGCCAAAAGAGAAAATAACAGATCGTAATGCACATTCACCCAATGTTTTGCATTTAACCTGGGAGGGCATATTTCTATAAATGGTGGTCAAATCAATAAATTTCTGCACTGATCTGCGGCTATTTACAGTAATTTCCCTTTGTCTAATATTAATCGCGCGTTTGATTTTTGACCAATCATGGTTTAGGAGCATCTTATCGGCGCAAACTGCGACTAACTCATATACAATTAATGACATCATTATTCCTCGACAAGTGAGAGAAACCATCTCCTATGGATATTACTCGATATCATATCGTGATCATCTCTTTAAAGACTCCTCTCTTTCCAGAATATTGGTGATAAAAAGTCGAGGCCGTCTATCAAAACTAGAGTTTAAGGAAATGATACCTATTCCAACAACCAGTGATGATTATTGCAACTGTAAAAGAAACCGAAGATGGCGAACAGGGGCGAGGTCGCATTCTCGCAACCCTAGATACAATTGAGTTATAATTCCCCATCCACCTTTCCGCGGAGACATATTGGTGGAATCCCGTTAGAGCTCGGTACTATTTATTACCAAAAGTCCGAGCTCCGCAGACGGCGGCGGGGTTTGCTCACCGATTTTTGGGTTTTTTTTTTTTTTTTTTTTTTTTTTTTTTTTTTTTTTTCAGGGGTGATGCTGCAATAAGCCATATCTCCTCAGGCAGGAGGCAATTTTCCTAGGACGGAGTCCTTGCACCCTTAAAACTCTGCTGGAGCCATGTTATTGAATAAGTATTTAGGCATCACCCTATGGCTAGGTGAAAATTGGTACATAGTGGTAATCTAACTGAAGCGCATTGTCTAACCCCAGGGATGTGGAGTAACTAACTAATAAAGTGCAGTCTCATGAACGGTAGGAAATACTCAAAAGGCTCTTGCAGGCCTGCGTCCATCAACCAACAGAGATTTAATCAGCAAGACATCACATGCATTGTAATGATTGTTAATTCCTCAATACCGCAGAATGCTTTTTCAGTAAATTTTCATTCTGATTTTTGGGTTTCCTGGCAACGCTGAGTAGTATCCTACCTACCCAATACTGTTTCCCCTTTGCTCCATGACAGGAAATTCAAATTCCAAAGTCATGATGTCAGACTACGGAGAGAATTTGAATGGGAATTGAGCGGGCATTTATATAGCCATGTAAATAGACAATATCTCTGGCCTTCCCATCATTTCCCCATCAACTGGGAGCTCACTGCTTTTAACAAAAGTCAGTGATAGTGAGAACTAGTCCTTTCATTCATTCAAGGCTCCTGTACAGTTCTTCCTCCCATACTCTGTACAATTCGGAGTAAACCCTAACAACAGTTAACCAGTTAGCTATAGAAAATGTTAGCTAATATTAAATTCTAGAAAAAGAGGAAAAGAAAAAGGTCTAGAGCAGGAAAAGACCCTGCTTTTATTCTCTTTCCCTTGAAAGTCAGACCCTTCCTCTTACTCACATATATGCCTCTCTTCTGCTCAGCAGGCCGTTGGTATCATTTCATCGCATAATAATAATCCCAGGAGCGTAGGGATACACATAAGGCCTAAGATGCGTCCACCCCCCTTCCCCTCTCCCCGCTTCCCTTGTTATTCTTTCCGATTTCTCTCCCCCCACCACGTAGCATGGTGAAATTCCGAGCAGCTCATTTTATTTTTAAAAAACCGAACCCACTATGGGAGGAAAACCACGCGCACTAATAATAAAATTGGTTGATTGTGATTTTATTTTGGCTTTCAAGAAGTGGAAATCGACAAATTAATATCCACATGGAAAGGCCGGAAGTTGGAGAAGTGGGAGGAATGGGAAAATCAAAAAGCAAAACGGTCAAATGGATGGATACTGATTGATTGCTTTGTTTCAAATGGAGGACCAAATAATAGTATAGTTGTTGCTCAAAGTAGTAGCAGAGTCTTCAGGAAAGATAGTGAAGTTTTCAAAACAAACGCTTGAAACAAAAATGCACAAAAATAGTTTCTTTTTATTTCAGATAATCAACAACTACTCCTAAAATATTTAGTCTCCGAAGAGTGACATCATTCTCGCCCTAGCCCATATTTTTTTTCTAATCCTCACAACCCACAGAGAAAAACCGGAGTGTTTCATATATCAAACAGACTAAAATTACCACTCAGGTGATCTGGCTCCTCCCCGCTATCTCAGGTCCCCGCCTTCTCATTTTCAACTTTGCCCGATGCGGGAAATGGCACAGTTAGTTACGACTTACAGCCTATGATGGGTCGAGAGGTGCGTTTCTATTCTTGGACTTGGTATTTCGCCGTTCCACTGTAATGTTGTGTTAATGTTCGTGGAAAGGATTTTTGCTTTTTTTTTCTCCCCTTTGGTTTTCGGCTGGCCGATGAGGAAGCATTCATGATTGGCTTTATGGCGTGGGAGAAACATTGGTGATTCGAGCTTGTTGATGTTGAGCTGTTTGTTGATGAAGTGAAAATTTTCTTCTACCAAGGGAAATGTTAAGCTAGATGACCGTTTAACACTCACGAACCCCCTTGTGAGAAGAAGAAATGTTCCATCTTCCCGGACGCATTGAAAGTCTTAACATGGAATAACAACTTCTCTCTTCCTCCTGGTTCCCAGCTGGATTCCCAGCCGTACCAAAATCACACTCATACAATTCTTATAAATATATATATATATATATAGAAAAAAAAAAGTATCATCCTTGAATCGGGCTCAGACCGTCATGTTTTCTTTCCAGACCTTCTCATGCTTCTGCATCATACCCCGTAGTCTTTAACCTTACCTTTCTACCTCAAATCAAATAGCCCATGCATGATGCGGCGGATCAGGCGGAATTCTATCATGGTCTAGAAATGTAGCGATTGATAATCAACAGGAAGAAACTTCATGTCGAGTTATCGTTGTCGAGATTCGCCTCTCTATCTCCTTCTCAAGATTCTTCCTTGGAATAGATCTCCTTGGTTGGGCACAAACTTAAACTAGGTAAAAGATTTAACAAGATCTCATCAACTCATACGGAGTAATGCCTGCTCGATTGATATGTTAAGATGCCTGGATAATGGAACCTAATCACCTATGATGTTCTAAATAAATTTTCCTTTATGATTATGCTATGATATATGATCAAGAAGAGATGCATAGTTGAAACTATTCCTTTCTTTCCAGGGTTCTAAAGTTGGAAAAATTTTCCATGACATGGCATGGTATGTATGACATGCCATAACCATGCGGACGATGTAAGAGATGTGTAGCAGTGTGAAACATTCAGACACTATTTATGTCAATAAACATCTATCAAATGGAAATATAAGACGGCGAAATCCGTTTGGTATAATCATGAGCATGTCTTCTACCTCTGCTTTCGATGTGTTGAACGTTTAGAAGATACATGAAGTTCAAGGCTAATAATTATTATTAGTAGGCAATTTTGTTTTCTTCAATGCTGGAAGTATAAACACCTTCATTGTATATATCTTCAACCCCTAGTATTCATCTTCTGTATATCTTGTCTGAGAGATTGTGATGGGAGCAGTTTCGAAGCGAAAAACATCGAGGAATAGTTTGTCAACTCATTGACGTTGCTGACCCGTCGAGTTGATAGGCAATCAATTAATAGATTGTTGCGAATTGGTATTCCCCACTGCGGCACCGTTATTGAGTCTGCATTGACCATTGACCCTCCAAAGTTAACGTCCTCTTCCAGACAGTTCCAAACAATACCTATGGTGGTAAATCATGCTCCCTTTGGCAACGCAGATCTCCGATGCTGCAAAGGAAAGGGGAAAGGAAGAAGACGCGCGTCTACGCTTCCCTCTGAAACATGAAACCGTATTAATCTGCTGGACCAATGTGTCTAAGGGTAGTGAAACGGCGGCGAACAATCTGAATGATGAACAGTTTTATCAATCATCGATGGATTTCTCCTCTGTGGCTGAAATTAAAGACAAATTAAATAACCCATGGATAGATACGAGTAGTTCTGGCAGGATTCGCCACCGACTCCACGACTCATCCCGCATTCAAGGTTTTATGTTTGCGCCAATCTGCGTTTGGGAGCTGTTGCATTCAAATCGTTTTTTCTCTTTCTTCCTTTTCTTTTCTCTGCGCGTTTGAGATTTCAGATGTTGACTCCGACTGCCCTTATCATTTTTTTTTTCTGCGGAAGAATACCATCTGATACTTAATAATATGCTTCCTTCGCAGAAGAAGGCAAGGGAACCCACAGGAAAGATTTTTTGAATCCATACGCTTTCTCGATGATGAATTATTCTTTCCTGAATGGAAAAAAAAAAGTGATTGTGTTCATCGTCTTGAGAGGCGACAGACAGACCAGGCAGGGTTTAATTAATGCAACCATCCAGACTCCATATTGCTTGGGCTTGGGCTTTCGTGGCTTTCATGCCATCTCTGTCATCCCTGACAGATTGGGGTGGGGGCCCAAGGCTGGGCGGCTAAATATAGAGTCAGCCTGTAAACCGTAAACTGTAACCGCATGCGGTGATATGCACCCTGTTTTCGATGAGGTGGAGGGCGGTGATTGGCTGGAGGGTCGTAGGGAGTGGGGACGGGTACATACATACATAACAAAAAGGTACCCAGAATACCAATAGAATTAAGTATCATGAGGTTGAAGAAGGTGTATTTCAGAATCAGAAGCAACTCCTGAAAAAGGTACTTTGTAAGTTGTAGTTTCTCCGTACAAATACCTCAATTACGTCTAAGTTCAATCAAATCTGGATGCATGATGCTCAAAATAACAACAACTCGCTAGTGTAATCTTACAAGCGAGGATCTTCCGTCTCCTGCGAGTGAGTGAGCGAGTGAGCTCTCCCCCCCCCACTGCGCACCCCTGTCAGCAGTGGTCCACTGGCTGCTGGACTCTCCCTGCCTGGTCGCCAGCGGGTGGTTAATTGGAAAGAGTCCCGAATTACGCGTACACGAGCGATACACCGATACAATCAAAAACTGCACAACAGAGCGCGCTGATACACGGTCCACGGGCTGTGGTTGGCCAAGCAATAGTTTTAGTCGTAGTAACTTCAGAGGCAGAGGCAGAGGCAGCAATCGGTACTCCGTACTGCCCTCGTACTTTATGGGGAACTGCTATATTTGCCTATTTGCTGGTTCTTTCGCTGCTTGTTAGTCAGTCGCCTCGTCTTCCCCTCTTCTCCTCCTGTTCAGTCCTGTCCCCTACACCCTCCTTCGCCCACTTCACCCGACACCGGACAACACCTTTACACCTTCGAATCTTAACTCTCCTCTCCTCTCCTCCAACTCCCCCTACTCCTCCCACTTCTCTTCCGACTCTCTCTTACTCCTCTTCTCTCTCCCAGACACTGGCTGTTTGGCCTCCTGCTTCACCTGCCTGCCCCAGGTCCTCAACACACTCTTCTCTCCGTTGACTCCTCTAACCTCTAATTCTAATATTTTCTTTCATTATACCCCCTCTGCCGTTCCCCGGTTCACTCCTGTTTCACTTTTGAGTCTTTCGAGACTTTTCTGAGTCTTTTCTGAGTCTTTCCCGGGCGGAAACGACTTGTCCAACGGCTCATCGCAAGCCCTGCTCTGCTCGTTCTACTGCTGCTCCTCTTGCTGCCTCTCCTCATACCTACCTGCCATACCTGCCGTACCCTCCTTTGTTGCTACAAAGCCCACCCATCCATCCCTTCGCTGTTTTAAACGATACCAGCGTCGATCGGTTCATATATTCCTCTAATACAACTTATTACTTCATACTGCTATTATTCCTTGAAAAGGAAGGGTCCTCCAGACAGGGAAAGCTTATTCGAATCCGAATCCCGCAACATATCTACAACTCCATGACGCATTTCGATGCATGATATACGGCCAGTTTGAAACAACGCCCATTCCCTTTCCCGATTCGCCCGCAGTTTTAAGCGCGGGAAGGGAACTGAATTGAAGACGTGTTTGCGTGGTTATTTTTCAGTGTTAGGATTATTATAATTATTTTGTTCTGCTTTGCTTTGCTTTGCAAAAACAGAGTAAGTCCAGGCTTATTCCTCTCTATCATACTATCTCCCCCCCGGTCTACACTTCATCCTTGGATTGTTCTTTTTTTGCCGCTCCTCTTGCACGTTGTGATTCATCCTAATCCCCTATCAATCCCTGTTTCAATGGTTTCCGCAGTGATCCAGCATTGCGTAAGTGGACTGGGCTGGTTGATATGGCGACTAATTCCCCAGTCTTTCGTTCACCCTTTTCGCCCTTCTTATCCTCACCTGATTTCACCCTTCTCCCACTATCAACAAACATACTGTGTGTTGTTACTGTTGACTGTCATTCCCATACCTCTTCCCGTCATTCTCCCTCAATGATACCCTCGAGAGACCGGAATAAAAGCGTCAATGATAATAATTACTTGAAAAGGTCGTTTGCGCAGGTGGAAGACCCAAAATCATTATACCCACACGACGTCCAATGCGATATCCATAATACGGCAATGTCTATCCAGATGCTTAATGAGTTTAATAATAACCTTCCACGGATTGCCCCTACGAATCGAAGATCCCGTTCTCACTCCCGATCAGAAATATCCACCTTACCAAATTCTCCCTGTCTTTCCTCTTCATTCCCGGCCTTCATGGCTACTACGTTGGCTGCGGTGGATGGGTCAAGTTTCCATTATACTGATGAGAAAAAAGACAGCTGTTTGGGGCCAAGGAAAATCATGGACATACGCCGCACGGTAGCTGCAGCCACATTGACCTCACCAAACACTGCTTCAACTTCAGCATCATCCATTTCCGCTGTCACAACGACGAATACAACACTAGCACACGGTCTCAGCCGTCCCCACACTGCTGTTGGCTCTTCTCTTACCGCTCAACAGGTTCCTATTCGTTTCCTTCGCCGCGAAAGCCTATCCGTCGCTTCTGGTTCTGCCGATTCTTCACCTACCACTACTATCTCTACCTTCGATTCTCCTGTCGTTCTAGACCCATCCCCAAGCTCTTCACCAGAATCTCCGTCCTCCGTGCTTCCTCTTCCGTCTCTCAAACCTATCTCACGTCTTACGAATGATGATCGACTGCCTGTCCAACTGCAGACAGAGTCGCGTATGAAGTCACCTCCGTCTCTCGCTGCTCATAGCCAATACCAATTCCCACCAGAGTCCCCAACACGGAGAGCTCGAAATTTAAAGAACTTATCCCTTAAATTACCTCCTATTTCGTCGTCTCGACAGACTATTGCTACGGCCCCTATTAGAGATCCTCCACATAATATCTCAGCACCCTCTTCTCCCATACAACCTAATAGCAGAAATCTGCGACGGAAAGCTCCAAACCTTACCATACAAACACCTTCCTTTGATCGATCATTTTCTTCTAATATTGCAGAGGTCGTCCCTCCTACCCCAAATACTCGACCAACCCTTCGACATATTGAATCCTCGCCTTCTCTTAACTCGATATTTTCTCCAACTGCGCCGTCTAAACCTTCATTAGCTCTCCCAGGCTTATTCTTCCAATCGTCGAAACGGCCTATGCCAGGTACGTGGGAGGATCGTATATTTCCAGATCGACCCTCCTTTTCGACCCAGCCAAGTTTCCAAAGTAGAGAAGCCTTGCATGAACTTGTCGAGGAAGATGATCCGCCAATATCGCGCGAATCGTGTAAGGGTAGCGATAAAGGGTATCCTGACGGCCCTATTTTAATATATGACTCAGGTCTCTATCTTTACCTGGAACCTAGCTGTGAAGAAGCCATGAAATTCGATGTGGTTATTAATGTTGCAAAGGAGGTGGCTAACCCGTTCGAGAAAGCTGAGCTGAAACAGAACACCGTGGTATCTGTCTGGAAGGCCACATTGCCCGACGCCCAACGGCGACAGTCGTCGGTCGTGGAACCGGATACAGCACATTCGGAAATTTCTTTCAAGTCTGCTTTTGAGTTTCAACCGGTTGAAGTGGAGTCACCATCTACTCCCAAGCCCAACTCTCCTGAGCAACCAGAATACATACATGTGCCTTGGGATCATAACTCGGAAATTCTTGATGACTTGTATCCGCTTTGCAAGCTCATTGATTCCAGGATTTCACAAGGAAAAAAGGTCTTGATTCATTGTCAGTTAGGGGTTAGTAGGTCTGCGTCGCTGGTCATTGCGTATGGGCTGTACAAGAATCCAGATAAGGATTTTAATGCTATGTATAGCATTGTAAAGAGTCGGAGTTGTTGGGTTGGTCCGAATATGAGTTTGATCTATCAACTTACCGATTTCCGGTTGCGGGTTCAGGAGTGTAGTGGAAGTGGAGGTGGAGGTGGAAGTGGGGGCTGGGTGTCTTTTAGGAGATCGCCACGAGAAGAGTGGTTTAACAATTCGTCATCTCGCAGCATAAAAATGACGGAACAACCAACGCCACCAGAGTTCTCCTCGTCGATATCCACAGCCCCAAAACTAGCACGACCGCCAATCCCCCTTTTTCATCAAGCTGCAGGCGACCCTAAGCAAAATTCTCCAACCACACACTCTTTCACAAACCATTTCACCGGGTCAGCCACCACGCAATTAAAACCCCAACCCTCAAAACAGCGCCGCAACCCCTCACCTTCCCCCCGTCCCCTCCCCCTCCGTGAAAAATACCAAACTTTCCACTCCCTCAGTCGCCCCCGTTACGAATCCACCACCACTTCCACAACAACCACATCAACCACTGCGACCACCACCACAACAACAACAACCACCATCCCCTCCTACCGTACAATTCCCCGCTCATCTACCGTCCAAATGGACCAGGTCATGCAAGACGACAACATCCCAACAACACCATTTCTCTTCTCTCCCCGTGCCGCTGAGTTTTGGAGAACGCCGTTTGCCCGTACTGATGCGGGGGATCTTGCATTTCATGATTCATCTCCGTTATCTGGTACAGGTGCTGTATCATCGCCTCGTGTTTCCATGGAGCTGATGTCGCCCACATTTCCGCCACTGGGTTTCGTTCGGCCGGTTGTCGGGTCCCCACTTGTAGCTGGGATGGCGGATCCACGGTCACCACCGCAGCAAAGGAGGGAGCCGGTATTTATGCGGAACATTGATGAATTTCTTTGAGTAATTTTTCTTTTGTTTTTTTTTGATATTTGTTTTTGGCTTTCTTTCCCCCTTTTCTATTCCCTTCCCCCTCATGCATTTATACATGATTTAAAAAATCGCGTGGGGTGAGGAAAGAGAGGTGTTGATTAACCGTTTCTTAATTTTTGCGGAGTATGGATGGAGTTTGGTTATATGGAATACGGGATTCGACACTCTGGATTCTGGATTCTATGTACGGGATAATATGCGGATACACTATATAATTTGGGTTTTTTGGTGATGTTTTTGGCAATTTGGATGGAATGACATGAAAATGAGATGGAAGGATCAAGACAGCATCTCAGTGCAACACAGCAACACAGAAACCACAGTTAGTTATTATATTGAGGGGATATTTTTGAAATCTTTTTCGGTTCTTTTTGTCCTTTTGTTTGATTTCACGAATCAAAGCGGGCTTTGTGTGTGTCATAATGTTTAAACCTTGATTGTTTGATTGTTTGAGAGCTCATTACATTATATCATTCTCATATGACATGTATGAAAGAGAGAAATTTTACATATACTCCTTTCAACTTCAATTTTGTAATTTCTATCAGTCTTTTCCTTCTGGCAACAGCATTGACATTGAATGTTTAAAAGAAGGATTTATGTAAGTTCGACTATCTGTTTACATAATAAGAGAACGGGAGAAGAAGGTCCTACAATCAATAAAGTTGTTCTTTGTCTTTGAAGTGAGACTTCTGCGTGAAATATTTACACTTTATCTATGACATGGTTTGATTTTACCTTTCTTCCATTGTTTATTTCCCCTCCAGTCTTGGTTGGAAGAAAAGGGAAGAAAGGAAATTTTAAAAGAAACTTCATGATTCTGGAAAGAAGATTTGAAAGAAAGGTCAGTCTTGGAAGAAACTCTAAATGCGTTGTTAAATGGATTTAAGAGATAGAAGCTAACTAATGAACCAAGGTTCATTGATTAACCTCTGGGCAGAAAGAATGTAGAGCCTTTGAATATTTAATGTGATTATCACTTGACACACTCTCTCTTTTACTCTCTCCATTTAACAATGTGACGGTTAGCCAGCGGCCGAAAATGACGGTTTTTTCGCTGCCGTTCTTGGCCCTGCTAACCGCCGTTTTCTCCAATAATCGCGAGAGTCAATCCCCACGGCCACGGCCCTTCCCTCCACGCACCGCCGCAACATTTTGAAGTTGCAGCATCTTCTCTTTCACCCTCGCTCACCCGCTCACCCACCTTGGCGGGTGCAAGCCAGAATTGGCTGAGCGAAGTCTCAAAAACGGTCCCCCCCCCCCCTAGATCATCATGTTCTCTCCAGTTTCAGATTCTGTCATGCTGGCCGTGTCCGCTCCTGGCCTCATTCTTTCTCCTACCAGTACCTTATTGAGTGTCTTTCTGCAGCAACGCATGTCCTGTCCTTGTCCATGAAAGCACTCCCCCTCTCAGTTCCTCACCCCAGGTTCTCTCCTCGCTGCTCCCTGGGCCATCTTGACCATGGTGCCTCGCTCGCAGCCTGTCAGACCTGATGGGCCTGATGATAAAATGAGCCAGAGCAAGAGCGATGCCTGCCCCGCGCTGGATGCCATCTTTTGGGACAGTGGATATGAAAGTGGGCCCAATGGCAACCCCGGTGAGGATGAGGATGAAAGGGATGATTCTGATGATGATATCTTTGATGACGATGACGGCAACTGTCTCCAGAACACTACCTAGCCCAAGCAGAGAGCCTGGATGTCTCTCAGCTTCGACAGAAACAGTATAGCAATCTAACTCAGGAGAAACTTGATGAGACCCGCGGGTACTGGGAGAGGAAGGCAACCTTCCTGATCGCTCAGGCCATGTCAAATACTCACCAGTGTGTTCCAGGTATTGCAACATATCCATGTTGAGGCGGTGCAGCAATGGCACTGGATCTCAGAGTCAGATGAGACTGCTCATTTCCTGTTTGCATTCTTCAGCTGGCCGTGTGATATCCGTCATGACAAGAATAATCGACTCTGCCCTGGTATCCAATACAAGAGCTCACTTGAGACCTTTTGAAAGTTATGGCATCTTGTTCTTAAGCAGGAGATGGAATCAGGGCTGAGCAAAGATGTGATTGTCAAGATAGAAGATGTAAGCAGCTAATTCTCTCTGTGCTCTAGCCAACAGAGAAGTAGGTATTGATCACTTGCAGATCATTGCACTCGTGGCTGAAAAGAAAGGGCTGGGACTCGTCCGGAGGCTGACGAAAAACATGTACATTGAAGATGTCACTGAGTTCGCTCGCGTTCTCCTAACCATCACTGAGATGACATTTGAGTGTGGCTGGCAGCGTATCTGAATGCTTTTCTTTTGTCAACTCACAGCTATCACTGCCAGCCGTCCGGGGGCACTCCTACATCTTCAGGATATACGATATAAACTAACTCTAATTCGAGACCCGGAAGGTGGGTATCCTCGACTGTTCATATTCTCAAGGCCGGATTTTACAAAGAGGTTCCTCGGAAAGAAAGCTCCATAGGTGTTCTTGATTGTCATGGCCCTCTATGAGCAGATTGACTGACCGAATTGGCCAGGAATGAGTTTAAGATCCGGAAATTATCTTTGATCCAACCCTAGTTCTCAGTCCGCATGTCTGTTTGGAGATTATGCTCTTTCATATTGGGGCATTCAAGAGAATTTCGACAACTGGACCAGTGCTGGATTCCGCGGAAAACCTGTACAGTCCTAAGGTACTGAAGGGCAAGGGACAGCAGGAGTTGCCGTTAAAGAATGAATTACTGGATAAGTATGTGTTTTGCCACGTGGAGCGGACATTCACTGGATTTCAAATCAACCTGGAGAAGAGACTTGACAGCATCCACCGTGGGATCCCGGATGCGTCGAGGAGGTGAGATCACAGGCTTTGATCAGGTCGCTCACCCGTACAATTTCGAAATGCTGCAGCCAAGGCCTTCAACAGCAGTGGTGAGTGGCCCTCAATCCTCTTCATTTCTCAGGCCGGTCGGATAGCTAATTCAATGGACAGAAGAGGTCACAGATGCTCTCCAGAACGTTATACTTCAGCGCTCGGATATCCGCACCTTTGTCCGACATTAAAAGGTGGATGTTGATGTGGACGCATAGGGCATCGTCCGCAAACCAGGTTCCCAAACACCATTAGTGCATTTGCTTGTTCAATGAGTGCATCTATCGACCCAAATCGACTGTATAGGCTCTCCACAGAAGAATCTCGGTCCCTAAATTTCCTCTCAGTGGTTCTTGCACGGCAGGATACAGTCAACAAGCGCAAGCAGGAGTGGGAAGATCGCAAAGCCAAGTTAGAACAAGCCAATATAGCATACCAAACCGCCTTTGGCCACCTTGACAAAGAAGCGCTTTCTGAGTACCACTTTCAACTACTGGAGAAGTTGGCACTTTTCCAGGATCGGATAGTGGACGCTAAACATAAGCACAATAGGGCAGTCCGTGAACTGCGTAATGAGAAGCAACGACAGCGGACCCAACGGATACAAGAGAATCTCACCCGCTACAGGAACGAGCATATTTCCTTTTTGATTCCCAATGTCAACTTCTTCCTCCCAGCAGATTGTCTCACCGGGGCCTATCTCATCCATCGTCGCTCTCAGAGAGGGAGCCAATGTTTCCTGTCTCTTTGCCTTACATTGCAGACCCCGGTGTGCTTCCCTGCCGTCTTCCAACGTTTGAGGAAATACATCAGTCTAAAGATGTCATTTACGAGCTCGGCGGCCGCAAGATCGTTGCTGTTGGCCTTTATGCCATCAAGTAAGGACCTCAAGTTGACCTCCTCGAAGGCGAAAACATGATGGTTGTGGCTCATGTTACATCAGTCCCAGTTCCCCGCATACATGGACTGTTCAAGGATTACGCCAAAAAGATCGGATACATAATAATGGAACGGATAGTTGGCATTTCATTGGAGTCCGAGTGACACAGCCTCAGTGAAAACCAAAAGTCCACTGTTATTCTGCAACTGAAGGCAATTGCCAAGGATCTACAAAGTACTCCTCTCCCGGAGGGTATTGCAGTCTTGGGAGATGACCTTTGCTGGATTACCTCTTCTGGAACGACAACCAACCCGAGAGAATAAACGGCCCATTCGATACAGAAAAACAGCTTAATGATGCCATGATCAAGAAATATATATTCAATAATGGTTCACTCGCGAAAGCAAAGTTTTACATGCAATGCTTTCTGTCGATACTGCGCGACAACTCACCGACATTTACACACGGCGATTTTCAACAAAGAATACTATGATGCGATTAACTGGCGACACGAAGGATGGGTTCGAATTGGTTCTTCTTGACTGGCAGTCTGATGGATGGTATCCCAGCTACTGGGAGTACTCCAGAGCCATACAGGCTTGTGGGAAGTGGGACGACGATTGGTGCTTACATATCAACAAGATTTTCTCTCCGGAGATTTACGCCAATGAATGGTCGTGGATGCACATGCTTTTGGTCGAGTTGTGGTCGTAAATCAAGGAAGGAGAATCCAGGGCTTGTTGATAGTAGAATACTTGAGTTGGCGCAAAAAGACAACAACCCCGGCGAGCATATGTGAGTAAATGCCAGGTCGTGGTTTTCTGTTTGATATCGTTTCGGTCGACAGTCTGGGTCTTTTATACGCTAGGGCGGGAAATCCACCCGCGGAGAGCCACAGAATCCTTGTGGAGTAAAAGCCATTAATAATTTTTGAGTACAGCTGGCCGAGATGCATGACTAGCCGGCGAGCTAGCCCGCTAATTTACATCACTCCTTCTCTCATTGGTCTAATGAGAGCAAGGATCGCGCAGACCCAAGGTCGAAGGTCTGCCAGAATCCAGCTCCCCAGCTCATGTTCTGTTTCCTCTAGACACAACCCTCTGTCCAGCAACATCGGGATGGCAGTCGCGGTTGAAATCCCATCAACTTTGGAAACCTTACTGCAGACGCCTCAAAGAGTATCTCGAGGCCCACCGTACTCAGGTGATCTCTGTACTTGGGGAAATTTCGCGGCGTCTTGGGGCAAGAGTTGTGGAGGTTGTTGAGGATGACTCCTCTGTTGACTCACATCAACCACTTCAGCAAACTACCATCAGTTCACCAGTTTTTTGGAAATGACGATGCTGTTTCTCATCAGAACTCCCGAAGATAGGGGTTCCCTTTCACTATTCAATACCTCTGTTGACGGCCCTGTTTCACATTCAACTACAACTTCTGAAAATCATCATCTTTCCTCAACTCCTTCCGCTCTGTTTGTCGACTTCGGCGTGAAACCATCAGCTGAAGAACTGAGAGCCAAAGATTTCCTGCAGAAGATAACAGAACAACTTCCGGAAATCATGAAGTTCACACAGTGTGAACTGGAGCAGTAATCAAAAATTACCTTCTCAGTTTGACTCATGAGGACTGCCGTCTTTGTGATATACGGAGCATTGTCGGAAAGCCCAAACCAACCGCAGAAGACAGATTTATTCAGTGTTTGGCCCAGCGGTCATTAGGAATCGAGCACAATTAATGGGAACGTGAAGTGCTGCGAGTGGAAAAGACAAGGATTGAGATGGTCTTCGAGCAGCCATCAGTTAAAGGAAATGGCACTTACGGAGATTTCGTGCGGAAAGATGGGAGATTCCGTGTATTCAATCTGGCTATGAAAGGGCTTCAGCGCGGAACTAAACAACTTGTTACCGAGGAATGGTGCAAAATATATCTTGATCCAAAAAATAATTCTGGATTCCTGGGATAAACTTGACAATTGCACATGCATTTCATTGTTTTAATCTTGTAACACTTCCGCAGATACGCCAGTTTGTTGAGCTCCTATCTTAAACCAGAGCATTTGGTATCTTGCAACGACTTTCACCCTGGGTTGAAGACTGTCAATCTCAATACGAAGGTAAGCTCACGTCTCTACATGCACGGCCTTTGTACTTACGCCTACTCAATCAGAAAGGTCAACGAGCTCGTCAACAAAACTACACGGGCTTTCGAAAATGAGAAGCGAAGCCAACTTCCCCAGTGGCAAACAAGCGAGCTTGTGTGTTGCAAGGTGCTGGAATTCAAGGGCGGCGATTTCCAGCAGTGGCCAACGTCACCCTTGGAGCTGCTCATGGTGCTTCGTGATGCAATAAAGGCACATCAGTCTCTTTACCTGGATGGGAACATCCTTCATCGGGATATTTCAGAGAACAATATAATAATAACCAATCCTGAAAAGGCGGATGGTCACACGGGCATGCTAATCAATCTGGATCTTGCTATGGAAGTCGGCAGTGAGCGCAGCGGCGCACAGCACCAGACCAGCACAATGGAGTACATGGTGATTGAGGTGCTCCTTAATGTCGACCATACCTATCATCATGACCTCGAGTCATTCTTCTACATGCTTATCTGGCAATGTGGCCATCGCGGTTGGGAGAAACTGGATGAGCTACAGAGACATGGACAGGACCAGTCGAAAGACAGCATGCTCAGAGAATGGTATACTGGAACTTATAAGAATATTGCAACTTATAAGCAAGGCAACATGGAAGCTGGTGGATTTGAATACCTTCTGCAGGAGTTTCCACCAGGATTCGAGTGTGTCAAGCCTCTTTGCAGGACCATACAAGGTGTGCTGTTTCCTTATGGGAAGGAAGGACTTATTGTCGGAACACCGCAAGACCCAAAATGGCTGTATGATCCTATTATTAAGCCGTATGATGATGCGATAGCTCTGATTGAAACTTAATGATTGCGCTGTTATGGTGAATAAGCATCGTTTATGTTAGTTAGCTTGCTCAATGCATTCTGTGTATATGTGCGGTGGGAGAATCGGATTGTGAGATGCCAGAAATTCTGGAGCAGGGTCGGTCGGCCTTCTTATAGTTGCTCGTAGTATATCAACACGTGTTGATGCGCTCGCTCACTTCACTGCTGTCCTCAAAGGGTTGACAAGTAGAGTTCCTTCATTCCTTGAACCTCACTTGAGAAATTCTGACATATCCATCCCCATCAAAATTGTAACCCTGGGGACAGATACCTCAGTGCCCTATGTCAATCTTGTTTGATCATTGCAACTTCCAAGGTTCACATGCCCCACCTGTGCTCCTTCATACGACCCCGCCTGAGGCAGCTCCGAGGCACATCCCGCAGGGGAAGCGATGCGGTAATTTTGCCATTCGTTGGAGAACAAAAGCGAGAGCCTACGAGTCAGCCTTGGCGGGTCAGAAGCGGATGGGAGGATGTAACCCCCAGCGCCCAAGCCTTGCTGACATGGTGGATGAAGGATACATGCAGCCCATCACGCTCAGCATGGAACCTCCATGGGTAGGGAATGCATCATGAACCAGAGCATGAAAGCAGAGAGATCGTGAAAGAAAAGAAAAAAAGAGAAAGAAATGAAATGAAAAACGAAACTGCAAGTGAAGGAAAAATGGAAACAAACTAACAGACAATGGTGAAAACCTGCCTGCTGCACAGGGTTGCCAATCAGACAATGAGATGATCATCAAGAGACATGGCTGCAAAAGCTCCAGCTGCCTCAGTCCCAGATCAAACAAGGTAACCTCACGAGATAGGCGTGGGTGGCCTAGAAACTGGCGAAGCGACTCTCTGACCGTCCCGGCCTAGCTAGGCCTGACCCATCAGACGGGCGTTCGGCGACTCCACGGGTGCAGGGTGAAAAAGGTGGTGAGTGCCGGATAACACGGCATCACCCCTGCAAGGTGAGGGGGGTAGTGTAGCTGGGCGGGGAAGATGGGATGAGGGAGAAAGAGGACGACGAAGTGCGTTGTCGTTGGAGGGAGTGAGGTTCGGGTTTTTATAGATTGAGCGGCATCGTCAGGGCGGCGTGAGATGTTGCAAAAGCGGCGAACCGGACGCCATACCCAAAGCGGCAACAGCCATGCCGCAAAGATACTAACTACATCATCAATATTTGAATGTGATGAATTTTCCAATAACGGACTATTTAAATTAGATATTATATAGAAAAATTATTAGATAAAATAGAGTGTGTAAAATTTATAATTTTAAATGTCAAATTTATAGGTAAATGATCTAAATATAAAATCCAACATATCTGGTATTAAGAAAAGTTGGGTTGGAGAAATTCTCAGAGAAGCTTGATCTTGATAAAGACTCTTTTATCTCCGAGAATATTCCAACAGCCATTGTCATTTCACTGACGGCACAGGGTAGATACCCAGACAAGGTCCACGAGGTATTCTCTCCCATGCTGCAATGTTCACTCCAGCTCCTGTACAGGGTGAGGCTGATCATCCGCCGCATCTGGAACCAAGTCAACTGGGCACAAAAGAATAGTAAGTCAAGTGGGTTGGCAACCGTTTCCGTGTTGATATATTTTTACCCTCGTGGTCTTCATATGGCGATAGGGCATTGCAAATGTCGTATTTTCTCACGCTTTGAAAATTGATATGTACTAGATAGAGTGAGGGTAATTGACTTTTATATATTTATTTTTATGTAAACTAGCTGGGAATCATTCTACGATAACTCTCTATCTCACCTCTCGTCGACACAGCGGAGACGGACCAAGCATAAGGGTTGCAACACGGAGGAAGATATAGTTGGCGAGAGCAGTAAAGCGGAAACAGACAACTACGATAGCAATGGAGATGGCGATGATGGCGGCAGCGACCACGACGACGATGACCCCGGAACATCTTGGTTTACAGAGCATAACGCACCCGAAAAGGTCATGAAATTCCTCACGTCAGAATGCTTTCCGCTCGCCCCTTGTAATACGCAATCGCAGCCAATCATTCTTGACCTGGGCACAGGTAATGGAGGTATGCTCGCCCTCCTGCGTGATGAGGGTGGTTTTGAAGGGTCCCGCATGGTCGGAGTCGATTATTCGCCGAAAAGTATCGAGTTGGCCAGGAGATTGCATGATGGCTCCACCACTACTGCGCAAAGTTCGGATTTATCCAGGATTCGCTTCGAAGTATGGGATGTATTCGATAACAGGGCCGTGCAGACACTGGACTGGTTCCCGGCTGCTGAAGGCGGGTTTGATATCGTCCTAGACAAGGGGACGTTCGATGCCATTTCACTTTCCGCAGAGGAGATTGCTGATATTCACACGGCAGGGAATGTGGCAGCGGAGAATTGCGATAGTTCTATGAAGGGTTCCCGCGTCTTACAGAGGAGGATATGTGAACGTTATCCCGGCATTGTGAGGGAATTAGTCCGCAAGGATGGGTTTTTGGTTATTACGAGTTGCAATTGGACGGAGGAGGAGTTGATTAGGTGGTTTACAAGGGGAGAGGGAGAGGATAGGTTGGTTGTATGGGATAGAGTTGCGTACCAGAAGTTTCGGTTTGGAGGAAAGGAGGGCCAAGGGGTGTGCACAGTTTGTTTTAAGAAGTTAAGTGGGAGTTCGAAATGATGTATCTGAACATCTGATGTTAATAAGATGGAAAAAAAGGATAAGGAGTCATTGATATCATCAATGAAAGAAAAGAAAAGAAAAAGCGAAAAAAAAAAAGGAAGAAAAAAGAAGAAAAACACCTTATGTAAAACCTAGTTATAAAACTACGGTAAATTGCTCTATTACCCTGGTCCACAACTAAGTAATAGGAAAGTTCATTACCCCATGATATATTTGTCGTAGATTAGCTAGTCTATCCCCTTTCTCAAGAACGCGACCACGCACCACCTTGCCCTGTTCTCCGGTCCCTCCCTCGGCCTCACAGGCATCCACTTCCTGGTAACCTCCCCCTCCTCATTCCTGGCATTGACATCCCTCTCCCACATCCTCTCCACAACTAAACCATTCGACACTGCAGTCTCAAAGAATGATGCAACAACTTCTCTTCCGGTATGGAACCCCGCGACAACCCAAGCTACTCCTCCTTCCCTAGCTCCCTCTTCATTGATATACGGTGATGGCGGCGCAAGAAACCACAACAAACTCCGCACAAGGTTCTCATGCTGATTCTTCATCCACAGACAGTCCGCTGCTATAATTCTTGTAAAGGAGCCTTTATTGTCCAGGGCGAATTTAAAGGGGGACGTTATCTTTGGATGTAGGTGTGGTGCTGCGTTTTCTTGCCAATGAGAAGATACACATACTTCATCTGGGTTTAATATGCCCCATTCATGAGGCTGTATGGATACTCTGCATCGGAGGTGTTCGGGGATATTGTTGGCGACGTTTGCTTGGATAGCACCGTAGAGGGCCGGAGAGGAAGGATGGTCTGTTATGGTAACTTCGGCGGCACCAGCTAGAGTGCTTATGAGTGAAGGTAGAGCCGCCCCTGGTGATGCATACGGGATTGTTGGTTTTCAGCTGGGGCTTTGAAAATCATATTTTTTTCTTCTGAATGTATTTGAAGGTGTGACACAGAGGGAGGAGGAGCATTGTGGATGGAAAGAAATAATGGATATAGACCAAGTAAGTCTATATTGTTGTCCAAAGACCGCTTTCCACTAGTTAACCAAGTGAGATAAGAAAGCGGTATATTAATGTATTTATATATAAGTTTAAGTAATTATATATAAATCCAGAACTACTGAGAGCAGCATGGAAGAAAGTGAAGGATAAAGGGTCAATCAACGCACGCTAGAAAAGGAAGTATATGAAAAACAATTTCCCATATCTTCTCCTTTATTTCACGGCAAAAGGTTCCTGAGTGAGAGGAAGAAAAGGAAACCAACTTACCTGCGCCGAGTTCCAACACTCTTTCTCCCTTGACGCACCAAATGGTATCCTTTTCGCCCTGAGCAGCCGTCGCTTTTTCAATTCCTTCAGCAACAACCAGCCCCCCACCCCACAAATAATGCGCAAATAGCCGTCTCCCCTCCTCAACCCCTCCTCCCTTTCCAAATCTGTCCTCCTCTTCCCCTCGTTTGGGATAATCAGGAACTATAACGGTCACATCACCCCACATACCTGACTCGTATGCTAGCGCTTGACCAGGCTCTCCGAGACATGATGGCGCTTCGTCAGGAAAGAGATGTGGGAGAAAACTAGTTAAGAGATCTTCTGCGTCATCAGAAGAAGTGGTTGTGAGGGTGGGAGAAGAGTGAATCTGGTTAGCTGAATAATGTTCCGTTGACCTGATAGTATGCTGCGAAGGTGAGATGTCCTCCTGATGGCGTATAACTTTTAGGCGGGAGGGAAGCATCGCAAATTTGCCAGTTTGCCCTTGTGTTTTTTGAGGATTTTCACTGTGAGAAGCGCCAAAATATTTTAAGAACCTGGGCACACACATTAACATGGCTCTATGAGCGGCAACAAAAGAACGGACAAAGATTAGTAAAAGTTAATAATACTTAGTTAGGAGATGGTAATTATCGATTATTAGCTTTAACTAACCAACGGGTTAACTTACTGATGCGATAACTAAAGCTTATCTGATCTGATTGAACCCTTATTCATCGTCAAGCCAATCGCAAACACAACTTCACTATACTCAAATCAACTCAACTCCAGATAGAAACGATGACGAAGAAAGACAATGAGGGTTGGAAGATAATTTCTATTCTGTTGCCAATAGATATGCTTCTTTTTTGAGCTCTTACGTTAATGGAAGCTGATGTAAAAAAGCCCATTCTGCCTCGGTGCTGGAGAATAGGTCGTTTTTGTCTCGCAGTATCCGTACTAATCCAACACTCTAGAGAACAAAAAGCTCAGTGTGATTGTGCCAAAAATGCCTCATGATATATAAAATCAATATATGAAATTGTGTGATGGGTAATTGCGCTTGGGATGGTAGGATGTGGGCCGTCCGAGGTAGCTGGTTAGAACTTGGTTTGAGGGGTTCTTGACGTTCTGCAGATAGCATGAGGATGTAGTTGGATTAGCCCAAGCCTCCCTTTATATAACTAGCCTAGATGAGCGCAATGTTTTTGCAGTTATGGGCGGCTCAAGTTGTCTGCAAATCAGCCGGCTTGCCTCACAACCAAACTCATCATGACTGATCTCATCATCGATGACGTTGCATTTTCCCGCCTTAGACACAAGGTCATTATAATTACAGGTATTGACAGCAGAGAGATACCTAGAAGTTTGATGCGAAACCGTATGGATGTTCTAACATTTTAGTTATTTGATTGTTAGGTGGCTCATCCGGGATTGGTTTGGCAACAGTTCAACTTCTCCTCGCAAGTGGATCAAAGGTGGTAATTGGTGATCGCAATCCACCTCCACCAGAGCTATTGGATGATGGCAATGTGACATATTTGCAAATCGATGTTACCAACTGGAGAGACCTGGTCGCATTGTTCAAGAAAGCAAGGGAAATTTATGGGTCGATTGATCATGTCTTTGCGAATGCGGGTGAGTTTTGAAAACTGTTTGTTGACGAGGAAGGGAGAGAGAAATGATAACTATTAGTTGATAAATAGGTTGTTGACGCAAATGATTGCCTAAAGGAATATCCAGCAAAACCAGCTTCTTCGACGACGAAACTGATGAGAATGGAGATCCTGTCGAACCCAATTACCCTACTCTCGACGTAAACCTAACGAGCGTGGTTAACACGGTGAAGCTGGCGATCTTTTATTTGAAGCAGCAGAAGGGCGGAGGGAGTATTGTTCTGACTGCTTCCGCATCCAGTAAGTTTCCCTTAGATCTCATAGAGTCGTGACGAGATTAGAAGGCGGAGTTTTGATACTAAAGGCAAATCCAATATAAATACATAAAGGCTTCCAAAGGTTCTCATCAGTAGACTACAGTAAGTTTCAAAAAAAAAAAAAAAAAAAAAAAAAAAAAGAGAGAGAGAGAGAGAGCGGAAACATATCCATGACGAAAAAAGCCTCAGAAGTTTGGCCTAACACTGTATTTTTGACAATGCACAGCAACTGCAAAGCATGGCGTCCTTGGTGGGTATTTCACTATCTAAAGAGCGTTAGAAAGTTTTCATGTACGCAGAACTGATCATTCTCCCTAGGTCTAATGCGCGGCCTCACCCCGCATCTATACCCCAAACTCCCCATCCGCATCAACGCCATTGCGCCTAGCTGGACAGATACCGGAATCGTTCCACGCTCCCTTTTCGAACTGGTAGGTGTTACCGTTCAGTCTACGCATGTTGTCGCTCTCTCCGTGGCGCTTCTCATGAGTAGCGATGGCGGGAACAGCGTGGATATCGTGGATAGCTCACGCCATGGACAACTGATATACTCTGTTGCCGGATTATACAGGGAAATTGAAGAGGGGATGTTGGAAGCGGTGGCTGGGTTATTGTCACCTTTGTCACTTGATGGGTTAAGTGAAAATGAGGCTCTTGAGAGAGTTTTGGTGGCTGTTAGAGCGATGAAGTTGGAAAAGGATGGGGTGAGTAATTAGGGAATTAAAAAACCAAGTGGGATGTCTTGATTGTTGCGGAGCGTGCTTAGTCTTCTGTGCATCTGTACGTCTGTGAAAAGGCTCCAACACGCGGCTGTTAAACCCCAACTTTCCAGGTACACCATTATCGCATGCGCAAGCTCCTGTATGTTGGGATTGAAGAGAACTTCAGGATTGAATTTTTTAGACAAGCACATCTCGGAAAGTATCTGACAAGAAGAAGACTTTGGCGCACCCGAAGCATTGGTGCTCAATAAGCTTCTCCATTCCTTTCATTAGTTAAACGTCCACGAGTAAAATATCGTCATAAGAGACACATGATGAATGCCGTCAGGGCCCCCGTTCAATTTCGTTATGGTTCCTCATTCAAGGACGTCTTCAAATTCAGCCTCTTTTAAAGCAAATTATCTTCGCCATCTAGCGGATATAAGCAATATATCCATGGGTGCAATTTCGGGAGATTTACGACAGTTGCGGCCGTATTAATTTGACATGATGCAAACCTTTGACCTCTGTCATTACGTTCGATTCTGGGGAAGGAAATTTCTCTACCCTCTGAGTTTGTGCCTCGAAGTCCTTCCTGTCCTTTCCTACCATCCTTTTCAAGCTGATTTCCTCCAGTCCTGAAAAAAAAGCTACCGCACCACCATACAAACCGTGTGTGGTCCAACCATCACTGGTTACAATACCTTCTACAGCCCTCTAAAAGTCTCAGACTTCATTCTATTCTTCCCCATCCTTTTGCGTGGCCTTGAAGCTCCTCCCCGGTAAAGTAGATCGGACAAGTGAGGTTGAAGCTCAGCTCATGCCAATGTCTGGAACCAATGCTAGGACGTGGTACTCATAACCATACAGGTATTTTTCTTTTTCCATCCTGAAAAGGAATAATTTAGAGAGAGAGAGAGAGAGAGAGAGAGAGAGTTGACCTTCGCCATTTGTTGATCATACAGATAAAGAACAATAGAACTGGAACTCTGCTTTTTTAATCGGGCTTTTCATTTGGTTCAAGATATTTTAAATTCGCTGGAGGTTTCAAAATGACATCATCATGGTGATTAACGAATCGTGGATGGCGGCCTTGAAGAAGCAGACGCCCAGCCCAGGCTCCCTGCCAGTTAATAATGCCGGTAATGTGATTGTTTTTCCCACGAAGAGATTGCTGGAAGGAAGAACTGTGTGCCAAATAGGAGGTGCGACAATATCTGGGTGAGTGGGCAGAAGATAAGGGGGCTTTGTAAATACTTTTTGATCAGTGAGATATGTGCAGCAGGATTGTTTTGCGCTTCGGATACTACAAGTGGATCATCCGCAGATTCGGGAACTGCGTACCGTTTTGAATCATTCCAGTTCATTTCTTGCTAAAACAACCACATAGTCCTGACAAAGTTTCCCTTGAAAGAATTAGTTCCGAATCCAATTAAAATTGATGCCTAAAATCGTTGAGTGATTATCATACATGGACCACGATCAATGTGCATCGCTCAATGTTCTTTGCTCCAAAAATCCCTAACAACAACAGTGCCTGTGGAAAATCGCTTCTTCAATCATTCACGACTTCAGCGGCTGTAGCATTAGAGATTGGCTTGCTAGGGAAATAGAAATTCCCATAACTAAACTCGAGCCAACTTCAGATCGGTTGCAGCAGATATAAACGAGGGTTTTATACTTGCTGAATGACACCAAGAAGACTTATTCTCGAACAATACATGAGCTTTCATGATAGTGATTCTATCCTGCAGAGGAAGCTTGTCCCACACATCCTCTAGCTTTGTCCCCGCAGGCTTATTCCATGATAATGTAGTCTGCACCAACAGGGTCATCAAGTGTGTGCATTCCAGGAATGGACTCGAGGAACAGGTATTTTTAGGACGTTACGAGTCTGCAACAACAATTAATTGATTCGCAACCGACAAATCGTCGAAGGAGAGTAACTTGCAAATTCCATCGTCGCGACCTCTGATGCCGTGGTGTACTACTTAGGTCCAGCGATAGGATGGGTTATTCTGGCGATTGTAGCCAATCCATTATCCATTGAAAGTCGAAATGTTTTGTTGTAGGTGCCCTCTGCTAACTTTCTCATGGTGACACATTTGTTCACCCCAACACTTCTAGCCGCAATATACTGGAGTTCCGCCACATTGAAGGATGTGAATTTGCTATTCCTCAATCCAAAGCCAGCGTCCATTTGTGTACCAGGAGAAATTTTCATGTTGGTCGAGACTAGGATACGACACTGGATGCGACTGAGTCTGGTGATCCGATGGGCACACCCCATGTGAGAACATCTTTGAAAAGCAGGGGAATGGACGAATATGACCATTCCTATAAAACGATAGAGCGCCCTTTTGTCTCCGTGACGAAGAAACTCAAGGTGCCCCGGGCATTCGTGTTTCTAAGCTTAGGGGAACTATTTAGTTAATCTACTTGCGCACAACCCCTGACCGACAAGCTTAGTCAGCAGTCAGCCTTGTTGTTGATCCATGGAACTTGACCGTCCCTCAGTTCAAAAGTACATCCATAATAAAGTCGCTTGATTCAAGAACAGAAGATTCATAGCTTATTACTACGTAAGATTGACGGATGAAGACCCGTTGACAACACCCATTTCCCCCGCAAGAGGGAATCGAATTGGGATTCTTGACCTTTCTTCCTGCTCCATACAATGATAGATGGATGCTGACTCTGGCGAAGTGAAACTTTACTAGTTACCACTACACACCCGGTAAATTTCCCATTGCCTATTTTATGGGGATTTACTCAACAACGCAGTTGATATTGCAGCATGTTACAGTCTTAAGTGAACCTGATGATATCCTATGTAACATCCACAACGATGACGAGTCTAAAGGCCTTGTCAGCATTCAGGGCTCGCATATCGATAAGTATGAGGGAGGGCTGGTCTAACTGCCATAATAGACGGCTGGATAGTTCGGCCTCCGCACCTCTATTTTGATGCAGTGATCTTCGACAATGCTGTTGTCCCCGTTCTGCATGGCATTACGAACCGCATCAGTTACACAGTTTCCCTATACTGTACCGTTTGAATTTATTCGTGCAGACAAATAAGAAAATTATCTCTGGTATTGACGGAGGTTGCGAAGACGAAATCTTCAATTATTTCGCTTCACAGAGTGAACCCTGGAATCTCTCCTTAAGTTAACTACCTTCACAGGTCAAGACTAAAAAAAGAAACATATACCCAGTCAATACCAGCCATTATTTTCCTTGATCACTATCAGCCCCAACTGCACGATGGTCGCATGGCCCGTGGAACCCACCCTGCACAACCCGTCGTGTCACGACCACCTGCTTCCCCAACCTTCGCAACCCACGATATATACCAAGTACGGTACCTCATAAATGGGAGGAATGCTTCCACCGGCAAGAATATAATAGTTTGCATGTATTCATACAGCTGATGTCTCCTAGAATTTAAACCGTTCCAAAGGCGCAAACGAAAACAAAAGCCATTCAATTCGAATAACCACTCCATATACACATATCAAATAACTACTTCACAAGCACATCCAGAACATAAAAAAAAAATGGATCCCCTAACTACCAAATCCTTCACGACCTCCCGCCACCTAACATACACCTACTACGCCTCGCAAGCACCGACAGCTTCCATTTACACGGATCCAGCCCTCCTCTTCCTCCACGGCTTCCCGGACGGCCCTCTCGTCTGGCGCCCCATGCTCCCCTATCTCCTCACGCTCCCAAACCGCCTCATAATCCCCTCCCTCCTCGGTTACAGCCCAACATCCACCCCGACCACGCCCGCCACATATAACTCCCAGGACATGTCCGCAGATCTCGCCGAACTCCTCGCCGCCGAAAACATCGACAAAGTCGTCGCCATCGGCCACGACTGGGGCAGTTTCATGGCTACGCGCCTATACGTCTGGCAACCCACGCGAGTCTTGGGCCTGTGTCTATTGAACGTCGCGTATTGGCCGCCCAGCCTGGAGGCGCCGTTTGACCTGAATGAGACGAATGCAGCTGCAGAGAAGGCGTTTGGGTATCCTGGGTTCTCGTACTGGGAGCTATTTACGGCGGGGGATGGGGCGGCCGTACTGGAGGGGAATGCGGAGCGGTTTTGGGAGGCAATGCATGGCGATCGGGAGCAGCCGCGGTGGATGAGGGAGATATTTTGTGCGAAGGGGGTGTTGAGAGGGTTTTTGGAAAAGGGGGATGCGAAGAGTGAGAGTGGGGGGGATGGTAGGCTTAGGGAGTATGCGCGGGAGAGGAGTGCGTATAAGGAGGATTTCTTTCGGAGGCTGAAGGACAAAGAGAGTGGTGGCATTGCGCCCGCACTGTGTTGGTATAAAGTTTTCGCGTGGAATGAAAATTTTAAGGTTGAGAAGACGCTGGATGTGGAGAGATTGGCGTTGCAGGTGCCGACGTTGTTTGTGGCTTGTCGCGATGATGCGGTGTGTAGGCCGGAGTATAATGAGATGCCAATGCACGCAGGTTTGTTGCCTGATTTGAAGGTTGTGGAGGTTGCGGGGTGTGGGCATTGGGGGATTATGTATGAGAGGGCGGAGGAGTTGGCGGGTATTATTCTCGGATTCTTGAAGGAAAGGTTTGCGTAGAGCTGGTCTTTGAACGATTTGAAAGGTGTCGAGAATTGTATCTCATTTCCCTAGGTTTGGATCATCACTGAGGTAGGCAGAACCTGTATTTCCAATGCGGAATGCTGTCTCTGTTCAAGCAAAGGTGGAACAACGCGAACATCAACAGGCTCAAGCTTGCATGGAGGAGATGGGAGGAGATGATGTTGTTAAAGCTGAAATCCAACATGCTTTTCATTTAGAGATATATAAATCATAACTTCGATGAAAAGTACAGCATCAGCAGGCAGGTTAACCTCAGTCTCTTCATCAACTCTGTTGATGAGCAGTATATGCACAGTTACCCTTCATTCCACCAGCTAAAAGATGCTGGGAAAACAGAAACCGGGACAGGGTCTATGAAAAGAAGCACAAAACTACATGGACACGAATCTAACCGCCAAAAAAATTAAAAATTAACAAAATAAAATAAAATAAGGCGACTCAGTAAATTATAACAAACTGACCATAAAACATAGCTTGTATATCGGGGGTATCATACGAAATGGCAAAGAACTACACGTCAGAAAGATATGGATGGCAGCACTGAACGACGCCAAAAAAGAGGAAAAAGGAAAAGAAACGACAAGACCAGACAAGATTAAACTCCATCGTAATGCATCAAACACACACGTGTATATACTCAACCTCTTAATCGCCCCCACCCCACCTCAAATCCGCCGATACCAGTTCGCCTGCCTCTTCCAGCTCTTCGTCCGCCGCCTAGCCAACTTTTTCCTCCTCTCAAACGAATTTTGTTCCCCACCCCGTCTCCTCTCCCCAGCAGCCCCCGCTTCCTCATCTTCATTTTCTACCATTTCAACCGGAACCCCCTCAACCATCTTCACCCTTTTCCCTTCCCAAAACGTAATTCCTCCCGCAACCATCCCCGTTAGAGAGCCCGCAGCAACGAGAAACCCCACCGCCCAACTAGGTCGCGTAAACCGGTTAAATCCCCACATTATGCCTGCCAGACAGGCTTGCAGAGCTGTGTTGATCACGTACATCCAGACGAGGAGGTCGAGGAGGTAGGGTTTTGTCGGTGGTGCGCGGGCGCCCGTTAGAGGGGCTGGGGGGATGGAGGAGGGTGGCAGTGGGAGGGCGGGGTTGGATTGGAGTTCGGAGAGATTGTGCATTGGGATACTGTTGTTGTTGGTTGTAGATGACGGTGAGGAAGAGTAGACGGGGGGAGGGCCGACATCATCAGGTAGTTTATCGCTGTTGGCTAACCTGAACCAAGCTCTATGGATGCCTGCCAGCTTGCGGAGGGCGGTGTGCGAGTTCATCAGCCGCCATTGAAGGAGGTAGCAGAAGTCCCTGAAGCGCCAGGGAATGAGGCCGAAGCCCGTAACGCAGAAGAGGGCGTTGAGAATCTGGGAGTCGATTTCTATCCAGATTTGTCTTGGAGAGTTAGGCGCCGTGCATGATGGCTTACACATTGCCGGCGCGGCATTGAGCAGGGAGGAAGAATATCATTGCACCCCATGCAACGATGTTGAGGCCGTAGATTGTAACGAAGAAACCGAAGGGGGTTATTATGAAATTGCCAAAAGCCTTTAGGCCGATTACTATGGCTTGTTTCCATGTGTGTTTCGGTGGGAAGCGATAACCGTTGGGGGTATCTGCCAGCTACATCGGGGACGGGGGGAGCAGAGGAGGGAGTATCAGAAAGAGTGGGCTTTCCCATCTCCTGTGGGGATTCCTTTTTCGCATCGATGGCATCAGCAGAGCCTCCTGCCTTTCCGAAACCAACTTGTTGTAGCTGTTGTAGTTGTTGTTTTGGTCCCATTTCCGATATTCTGTACAAGTCGAGGTTACGAACCGGATCGGTGGAAGTGCGCCGTAGTTGAGTTTCATGTTCCCTCAGGCCATCCAGCTGCGTGTTTCGGGGGCCGAGGGCACTGTCACGGGCAGCAGAAGCAGAAAAAGCACAGGCGGCCAGGGTATTAGCCCGGGACAATTTCCTCCTCTGGATATCATGGGGAGTGCTGCCTCTCCATTCCAACTGGCCTTCCTCTGTCCAGCCATCAGTGCTGAAGCAGCCAGTACGGATCTCTTTAAGAGTGGGTGCACGAGAAATGATATCCCCTGTAGCCATCCACATGCCAGTGGGAGGGTTTGATACAAGGAACCTCAGAGAGGCACTTTGCAGGCTGCAAGAGGTGATTGAAGAGACGGTGTTGGAGCGTTGGGGGTCTCTATTTGAGTCTGAAGGGTTAGTAGTACACGAGGGATAGCCATGTGCGTCTTCCACAGCAGGGAAGGGCTCCATTATCGCAGAATCCTTATTTTATATACACGCCAGATCCGGTGCAATTGAGGATAAGACCGCGAACGATAAAAAGGTGTGCATTCCAACATCAGGAAAGAAACGAGCGAGGGAGCTGGAAGTTTGCAAAGCAACAAATAGCTCAGTTGAAGACAAGTGATGTAGCTAATGATAGCATCGTCTTATGTGTTATCTAAGAAGGTTGTTGGCAGTGGGTTAACACGTTTGTTGTATGAAGATATGAAAGATGATCAACACCGAATGACGCAGAGCTCTGTGATTGGCGGGAAGACAACAACCGCCGTAGCTGCATTGCAATTGGTCTGCAGAGAAGCAAAACAAAACATAATAAAAAACTAAATATGGTGAATAAATATTCTCCTGTGTGTCTTAGACAGCAAAGTAAGAATTTATTCTATCATATCTCGTTCTGCCCCTTGTGCCCATGACAAATGAAATAATGGCAATGTAATTTTTGCAGGTTTGTGGGCACAGAGTATATTCTAATGGCCTTCTCAGAAGATCCGCAATTAGGCAGCGTGTGCGCATGAGGGGTCAGTTGGCTCAATTTTACACATAGAAATACTTGGACAAAAAAGGGACAGAGATGAAAATAGTGAAAGACCAGATTATTAAGAAAAAATTTCTTCTGTACTTTTATTATTATTATTATTATTATTATTATTATTATTATTATTATTATTATTATTACTCTTTTGTTTTCCTTTTCTTTCTTTTCTTTTCATTTTCTTTTTATTTTCTTTTCTTTTATTTATTTAATTTTATTTATTTATTTATTTATTTTTTGAAATATCATTGCCGCAGTTCTCTATGCGTGAGTAAATCGAAAGCGGGCATTGAGTGGTACCCGATGGCGACATGGAAAGTGGCAAATGTTGGCAGTGGGGCTGAGGTATCGCGTAAGTTACCTTCTATTTCTGCTAACACCAACTTCTGCATATCCTGTGTGGGCGCATCCAGAATGCAGAATGCAGAAACGACCTAAGGGCAGCCAGAGAATAATAGGTGGAAAAAAAAAAAAAAGAGTTCTACGGAGATGGACTGGTTATTGGTTGCAGAAAAAAAAAAGATTTTTTCCCCAGTTCATATGACCTTTTTGATTCAATTGGAAAAAATGCCCTTTTGACAGCTGTTAAAGAGTCTGATAAGATATTTGAAAACATATGATAATACCCAATTTTATTTTATTTTACTTTCTTTTTCTCCCCCTTCTTTCTCCCCTCTTCGCCTGGTGGTTCTGCTCGTCGCTGGGTCCGCTTTGCTGCCAACACCAATCCCTGTTTGGTGGCTCTAGTCAGGAACATAGCAGCAAAAATCCTGCCCTCTGGCTGGGTGGAAATAGCAAAATATAAAACAAAAACAATGTGTTCGTCAGTCTGCCAGAAAATAATTGGAGAAAAGTTTCAGTAGTCGCCAATCGAACTGAGAAATAAAGAAGTAAATTTCACATTCTGAACCGCTGCAATTGGTGAAAACAGGGCACTGAGAAGTAAAGAAAGTATGCTGAGAATTAATGATGGGGGGGGGGGGGGGAGGGTATATAAAAATAGACCCAAAGAGTCAGAGCCCGGACCCGCAATCTTCTCCAAACCCAAACCGAAAGAAATAGTCCTTGGGAGCTGGGAAGTTAATAATATCAAAAAGCAGAGCATGAGAATAATAGAGGAGCAGCGAATGGATGTGAGTTCCCCCCTCCCTTATTATTGTTTCCAATAACTGTTCTCTTTTAGTTTATGCCCCGGGCAACTAGTTAGCATTGACTCTGTAGTTTATGTGCCTAGGGAGCTAGTCGTGACCATACGAACGAGTGGGCGGGCCACCGCGGATTCCTCTGGGCCTGGGCAGGTTGTTTTGCTGGATCGATAACTTATTAATAAAGATTGAGAGATAAGTTGGTGAACTGGTAGTCATTGAGAGAAGAGGAGTAAAAGCCATAGCTGCTGGAGCCAGGGCGCAGGGTAGATCCAGTAGAAAGAGTAATTAATTTTGTAGCTCATCCAGAATATGTCATGTGGATAATAGATATTTTTTTCATGCGCTCGCTCGTTCGTTCACTGCACCTTTTTTGACCATTTTCTCAGGTCACCCTGGATTTTCTTTTCCCCAATATTTTTGTTTTATTTTATTTTTATTTTGCACCTCCCAGCTTTCTGTTAGACTTCGAAAACCGGGGACTTCTTTGGGGCCTGGTTTTTCATATTTCTGAATTGTATTTTATAAAACTAACTATTCTCTTTTTCCCCTTTCTCTAGTTTAAACACTCTCTCCAACATTTTTCTCCTCCTCGATCTTCATCGAGACCCTCTCGCATCCTCACTCTCTTCTTTTTCTTCTTACTCTCTCTTCAGTTATTCTATGTCTCTCTTCCACCAGTTCAACGTATGTTCCCACTCCCCTTTCCTATCAGTATCCATCCAACCTGATCGTTCAATGCTCCACTGTCTCTTGAACCGCCGGCCGACACTCCATACCCAATTATCGTTTGGTGCTAGTATATTTAGTAGAATAAATAATCAGCTCATTGCCGCGGATTCATTTTTTTTTCTCTCACCCAATTCTATTCCTCTTCCTCACTTTCTTCTCCCCCTACTGATTCCCCCACGCCACGCTCTTTCACGACAAGCTCTCTTCCTCTGAGACTTGCTGTGGAAGAGTCCGTTCATATAGAATGGCTTCGTTCAAAGTTAGTAGTCCTGGCCTCTGTTCCTCATCTTCAATCCAAATGGGATCTACCGCCGGATGAGCCATCCTTTTCAAAATTCTAGTCCTGACCAACACCCCACAATTTTCCTCTTCTTTCTCTACAGGAACCTTCCTCCACCCTCTCGCGGCCCGTTAGCCATATCACGCCCCCCCTCAGTCAATCCAATGGCCGTCACCACACCCATTCCGTCTCCCTCGGTGCCGTCAACATCAACCACCGCATCACCCGCCGGAAAAGCATGTCCTCTACCGCCGCCACCGCTGCTGTTGCCGCTGTGGCCGCAGCCCTAGGCGAATCCCCAAGTGCCGCTCCCCTCTCAACCTCCCTTCACCGTCGAGGACTGAGTTCGCGAAGAGCCATCGAATCCACGTCCGTCGGAGCCTCGTCGGGATTTAGTTCCTATCTCTCGCGAAATGGTGCTCAAGATGCCGGCACTGGCCTGGTACGCAAGAATTCACCTAATTCCATTGATGAGAATACGGCGGTGGAAGATGTTTCACCCCCTATGACGGAAACAGGCGCCGTCGGTGTCAGCAGTGGTGGTGGTGGTGGTGGTGGTAGTTTGAGTGGGAGTGGTGGTAAACCCATAAGCACGAAGCAGCGGAGTCGTAGAGCCAGTGAAGGTTCCCACTTGGTCAGAGCTGACGGGAAACGTGTCACGAATGAGTTGAGATGTGATCGGTGTGGGAAAGGGTATAAGCATAGCAGCTGCTTGACAAAACATATGTGCGTGTGTCCTCCATCCATTGTCCTCGCTTTCCTTCGACAATATACCACTTCTGTTTTACAATGCCTTCAGGCTGTGTATGCAGCGTTGCATGCAGTTGCTGTCATCATAGAGGAATTGATTTGCTCCCTGCAATTCTGATATGAATATTATTTACTTGGTTTTCTCCCGCATTTCATTAAAATTCAAATACTTAAATGTTTATCATTGTTTTGGGGAATTATTTATTAACAAAACTGTTGACAGGTGGGAACACGACCCAGCATGGGCCTACACATCCAAACTCCTTATCTCAAAACACCAGCAAGTCCAGCTCCTTGAAGCTGCAACCGTCCTGGTCAACATGAACCCGGAAACCCCTGGATCATCAGACCACCAACCCCGCAATGGAGAATCGGATCGCTCCTCCGCCTCCCCAACGGCCTCCGGCATCTCCGAACTACGGGACGGCGGGAGCTCCACGGAAACCACCCCACCTCCAACTGGCGAAGAGGGAAGCTTCTCAGTGAAACTCAGAGACACACACCATCAACACCAGCACCAGAGCTGCACTCCTAATCGTCAGCATCATTTCAGCACCAATAGCTTCTCCCGCTCTTTTCAATCTATCCCGTCAAGCTCCTTCACCGGCAGCGCCCCCACCTTCTCCCCCTCCCGCTCCCACTTCCGCCAGTCGAGCACAGACACTAGGCCCTCCACAGCAGACCCCAGCGGGCTGCTGGATGATGACGAAGCCGGCCTTGCCGCCGCCATTAAGCTGTGTCATTTCGGCACACCTCGCACTGGTCCCGTGCCTATGTCCCCGGATATCCCGCCCGTGCCGCCATTGCCGGCTCGCTTCCTGGATAGCCAGAGCATGGGAGTGGGCGCTGGCAACAACATGGCTGCTGGTATCACCAATGACAAAAATAACAATACCGCTACCAGTATTTCCGTCAACACGAATAGCTTTGACATGCTTGTCAAAGCGGCTAAACAGGAAGCCTCGCCCCCCACGCTTACCGTATATAACCCGATCACTATGCATCAGACGCTGTCGTATCGTGTTTCTGATGTGCGGGATGTGAAGATGGATGATGCGTTGCTGGGTTCTCGTAATTCTACTGGCAGTAGTGGTATTGGTGGTAAGAAAAAAGCTAAGTCTATATCCATGTCCATGTCCAACGCGGAGATGGACGATGATGACTTTGCGCAGGACCAGGGTTCTGTTGTGCCGATGGATGATGATGACGATGGGGTTTTTGGGAGAATGGAGGAGTGATTTGAGTGACTTGTACACCTGTGCACCAAGATGAGAAATGTGTTTCTTTCTTCTCTTATCATGATATTATGGCCAGCTACAAATGCCCCATTTTCCCCCACCCCGTTACTTTTCTTTGTCACATTTATTGATATGTTCTCTTTTGTTATTATTGTCGTTCAATTGATAAATAACAACGTACTGTGCCATACCGTACCTACTTCAGTTATTTTCATTGTCGAGAGTAATATGTCGGTCGAATGATCTGTTTTCCAGGAGCTATCCCAACCACGTGATTGGAAGTACGTTGG